GGGAATTTTTTTCGTAATCGCGATGTTGCCAAATTTAGTACATTTTCCGTAGATTTAGGGAATTTTCTTATAATTGCGATGTTGCCAAATTTAGTACAATTTCCGTAGATTTAGGGATTTTTTCGTAATTGCGATGTTACCAAATTTAGTACATTTTCCGTAGATTTAGGGAATTTTCTTATAATTGCGATGTTGCCAAATTTAGTACAATTTCCGTAGATTTAGGGAATTTTTCGACGACGGAAGTTCTTCGACGACGGTGAAACCGAAGGAGGTCAACGGGTCTTCAAAAACGATGCAGGTAGAGCCTTATTAGAGCCTTATAGAAGCCTTAGTAGCCTTCAGAAATGATTTTTTTCATCTACAACCTCTCACCACAAAGGTTCCAACATTCTGGTGTTAATTCTCGCAGTCTATAAGTGTGCTGTGATCGTTTCTGGGTACTTCCCATCTATCCTATTACATTCTTCACCAATCTAGCTTGGTACTTGGTAAACGAAAGGTTCCTTTTGGCAGGTTCCTACGCTAATTCCGCACAAAACAACAACAGAGGAGACCATCTAGACAGCGTCTCTTACGACAACCGAAGGGCCCATCAAGGGCGCTTCTCCAGCGGTGAGGACTTCGAAAGAGGACTGGATAACAGGAGGAACCACGATCGCAAACGGTACTTCGACGATAGAAGGAACCTCGACGAAAGGAACGCTGGTAAACGGTTCGGCGTGGAGGATTATCATCGTGAGGAAATGGTACCTGTGGTGGATCAAAGGAGGCGTATCACCGTGTACGAGGATCCGAGGTACGAGGTGGTACCGTTCGATGGGTACCACGATGATTATGTGGATGTTAAACCGGCTAGACAACGTAATTTCAATGAGCATTATTATTATTAGTAGGTCATGGAGGCGATGTAATATGAGTGTGTAGAAAATAAAGATGGCTTTGGAGGTAATTTAATTTTGTGATCAAGACGTCTTTGAGTTAATTGGTACTAAAATTAGCGGGTAGTGTTTGAGGGAATTGTTTTAGAGAATTGATACGGTAATTAAATAATCGATTTAAGTGCAACAAAAACAACTAGTATGATAAAAAAAAAAGTTATTTTTTTCTCACTCTCACGCCCATCACTGTTATATTAATAATCTTTCTTTTTTCAATCTGTATTATATAATCGATGTAGGCGTATATGGTATTGACATTTCGAGATTTATAATCGAGATTCTCTAATTATAGTTAATTAGAGAAAGGTATGTTTGAGTGACGTGCGTAAAATGTGCATACGCCGGAAGAGAGAGAGACATATCACATAGAGATCTCTGTTTTAGAGACCGCAATATGCCATAAACGGCCTGAACATTTCGGTATTTCGGCTGCAGCTGAGCATGATATGCAGCTAATGTCATTACCATAAGCGCGCGCCCTCTTTGATTGACGGGTTTTAGATTTTCACCGAAGCCTACTGTTTATACAGTTTGTCCCGATAATAACTTAATCGACCGTTTTGCCGGTTAAATACCTCGATTTTTTCGCTATTTAAACCGCGCCATTGTATAGTGAATTATTATGATTACCTTCTATTCTAAATTCGCAATCGAGATAAACGCGATAAAAAAGTAGAGAGGAAAAAAAAAGGAAAGGTATATACAATGTGTAAAAAGCTTTAAACCGCATATCACACTTTCTCTATATACTATATCCTTATCATATCTGAATAACCATTAAATCTTTTCTTTACACTTATATACCCGAAACTTCCCAGCTCGACTTTTCGTTCGAAACGAAACCCCTTCCTTCTTCTTCTTTTTCTTCGGCGTCGCCGTCGCGGCGGAACTGCGTCGCTTATCGGGACGCTTTTCCAACGCACAGGACCGTACTCGAGGGGAATTTAAATAACTTTTTGTGGTACGAGAAGAAATAAAGTCTCTGTCAGCTGTCAATTTCTTGTTTTTATAGAACTTATAACTTATAAAATAAGGAAATGAATTCGAAAAGGTTAAGATAAATCTATGTAGAATTGTCTATTCGCTGTTGAATAACGATTTATAATTATTGAAAATGAATTGTCGCGTCAAATCTGTCAATGTCAAAGTGGAAGGTTCGAAACGAGGCGCGTTTTTTTGTATCAAATTTCGCGAGCGTAACTACATAAAAATTACTCAATATAATGAATAAAATAAACGCAAACTCCAAGCGATTTATCGAAGCAGACCGAAAAATAAAAAGGAAAAAATCGTAATTGAATAATACAAGAAAAAAAATGACACATTGACACTTCTGTTTTTACCTTCGTTACAAGACCTCAGCTATTACGGCTATTCGGTCACTCATTTTATATAGTTCTTTTCGAAAGAACTTTTACATATTATATTGAACGTTAAATTTGTTAGAATAATAGAGTATACAGAATAAACAACTTATGAAAACTTTTTAACAACACCATAATGAACATTAACAATGACATTTGACACACCTGTCATACATACACGAAACGTCAATTCGCAATCAACTCATTCAAATGAATTCTCCCAAACGCATCAAGTCGGCCGATTGGGGTCCTGTCTCGGCAGCCGGATCGATCGCGGCGGGCGGAGTGACCGCCTCCGACGCCCCGCCTCTCTGCCCGCCTTCCGCCGCCGCCGCCGCCACTCGTCGACGAAGGTGCCCAAGGCACGTGGACGGGCCGCTCGGCCCCCCTTTTTTTTCGAGACTACTCGGTCGTTGGGATTCTTTCGCTTCGATTCGATCCATCGATTGTATTATTAGGAAACGGTTTTGATAAGTTAGAAGAAGAAAAATATTGAATTGGTGGTTAAAAATCCGGGTTCGAGTGTGAATAAATGCGAGTGTAATGTTGATGTAATTAACAAGTTGGCTATGGATCGATTAGAATAGCTAGAGTCGTTTAAAAAGTTGCCTACATATCGATTGGAATAGCTAGAGTCGTTTAAAAGTTAGCTATGGATCGATTAGAGTAGCTAGAGTCGTTTAAAAAGTTGCCTACAGATCGATTAGAATAGCTAGAGTCGTTTAAAAGTTAGCTATGGATCGATTAGAGTAGCTAGAGTCGTTTAAAAAGTTGCCTACAGATCGATTAGAATAGCTAGAGTCGTTTAAAAGTTAGCTATGGATCGATTAGAGTAGCTAGAGTCGTTTAAAAAGTGGTCTACAGATCGATTGGAATAGCTAGAGTCGTTTAAAAGTTAGCTATGGATCGAATAGAGTAGCTAGAGTCGTTTAAAAAGTTGTCTACAGATCGATTGGAATAGCTAGAGTCGTTTAAAAGTTAGCTATGGATCGAATAGAGTAGCTAGAGTTGTTTAAAAAAGTTGTCTACAGATCGATTAGAATAGCTAGAGTCGATTAAAAGTTAGCTATGGATCGATTAGAGTAGCTAGAGTCGTTTAAAAAGTTGCCTACAGATCGATTAGAATAGCTAGAGTCGATTAAAAGTTAGCTATGGATCGAATAGAGTAGCTAGAGTCGTTTAAAAAAGTTGCCTACAGATCGATTGGAATAGCTAGAGTCGTTTAAAAGTTAGCTATGGATCGAATAGAGTAGCTAGAGTCGTTTAAAAAAGTTGTCTACAGATCGATTGGAATAGCTAGAGTCGTTTAAAAAGTGGTCTACAGATCGATTAGAATAGCTAGAGTCGTTTAAAACTTAGCTAGGGATCGATTAGAGTAGCTATAGTTGATTAATAAGTTGCCTACAGATCGATTGGAATAGCTAAAGTCTATCAAAAACTTACCTACACAGATCGATTCTATAATATCTCGACTTCTTCGCTATAAGAACCTCTTCCGAAATCTCTTCATCGTTAATAAAATATATCAATGTGACCATTATACTTTTCAGATAATATGAAATATTGTACCAGTTTCTAGTAATCTAGAGAGCGATAATATCCCTCATCTGATGAAACAATTCAATCGAGCATATACGACCGCTCGAAATTCCGGGTGAACCACCGGCCGGTCATTATTATTTTTCTTCTCTTCTTTTTTTCCCATCTCTCATCTCGTCCTCTCGCCCGTTCGATTCTCCAAATCGAGAGTGCCCCGCGTCCGTTATCTTCTATACAAAACGGGGGTTTCCCCGCTATATAGGAAGACAAACAGGCTCGTAAATATACGGGGGCTCCGCGTGTGCCCGGCCTATCTCTATCTCTCCCCGTTCGGAATGTCTTTTCCGACACCTAATGTCCCGTTATCGCGCGGGAAAAATTGATACGTCCATTTTGCGCTCGGCCTTTTTGCGCTTTTTATTATGATTTCTCGTTTTCGTGGTTTTTTTTTTTATTCTCTCTCCTATATATTCTGCGGTCGAGCAGCGGGATATTGTTTTAAACGGGCGCGTTACTCGAAGAGTAATGGGCCGTTTATATGAGCATGAATAGAAGAAGGGAATTGTAATAGTATATACAGATTGCTTCGATTCGGACAGCAACATGGTCGTTTCTATATGAGTGGAACAAAGAAAGATTGATAAAATGACAGTTGACAGTTGTCAGAGTGAAAAGTTGCAATCACACAAATCAGTCACTCGTTCTTTTTCTTTTATAAGTGTCTAATTGAAGTTGTCTTTATCGCACTTACAGCTAATGTAACCTATGTTACTCAAGTACCTTTTAATTAGAAGCTTTTAACGACCAATTAGTTTGTTTTTATTTAGAGTAGTTAAAATAAAAAAGTGCCCATTATTATCTAGCGTTTTTATCACGTTTTAATTAAAGTATAATTCCCTCGTTATCACTTGCACTAATCACCATATTTTTTTATACATAATAAAATTATATTACCCAGCACGTGCGCCGCCTATGTTTTTTCTACATTCAATTTAAAGTCCAAGGTCTGCGAGTTATATCTCGAAATAATGTGTACTGCACATACTGATATAAGTATTCTGGTTATAATGTTTGTTTGGAGTGTTTTAGGTATTACTTTATCACGGGTTAATTTCGCAATCGAAACGCGTTTGGTGAACGAGTAATTGGGTGAAATATGCGGGAACCGTTGGTGAAAATAAGCGAAGGAAAGTTGTTGGGGACGATCAAACGCGATAAAAACGACGGGGAATTCTTCGCTTTCCAGGGAATCCCCTACGCTAAACCGCCGCTGGGCGAGCTCCGGTTTAAAGTAAGTTTTTCATACAGGGTGTTTGTTAATTGGTGCGACAAAGTTGAGGGGGTGATTCTGCGTGATGAAATGATGATATTTTGTTGTATAAATGTATGTCGGGAAATGATTCGTTTAAGAGATACGGGGTGATAAAGTTTATTTACTATTAGATAATGAAAAATACACGTCGAGATGTTTTATTTTTTTACTCGAAAACGGCGACCCGTACGAAAAAAACTCAAGAGAGTTTTTTTGTTGCAAATTGAACGAGGAATTTATTCATAATTGAATTTTTAATAAAAATACTCCAGTGGCGTACTAATATTATTTTTTCTTCAAAAAAAAAAAATTATTATTACCCGTACGCGCGTTAACGATGAACATAAAATTTTTAATTTTACGTCAAAAAATGCGTAATAATTACCTCTCAAAACCCACCAAATTTCATTCGAATATCTCGCCTGGTTCCAGAGAAATAAATAAATTTTCGGTTTTTTAAGAAGAAACTTTAGCACCCTGTATCTCTAAAACGAAGCATCTGCGATAATATATTTATATAGCAAAATATCATTATTTTTTCATGCAGAATCACCCCCCGAAGTTTGTCACCCTGTATACAATCTAATCGAGTAAAATAGATAAAAAAAATTAGTCCAAAATTAGGCCCCACAACCACCGGATCCTTGGGATGGAGTCCGAGACGCCCGAGAGGAAGGAAGCGAATGTTTCGCCAGGCAATTCGAGGATTTCTCCGGATCGGAGGATTGTCTCTTCATCAACGTCTACACCAAACAGGTATTTAGAACAAAATTACACTCGTTTTCCGACAAGTAAAAGACCCCTAATTTCAAGATATCGAGCGAGAAATTAAAACCTGTGATGGTTTGGATCCACGGCGGAGGCTTCACGGCTGGTTCCTCTAACACCAAACTCTACGGTCCGGAGTATTTACTCACCGAAGACGTGGTGTTAGTCAGTTTTAACTACAGATTAGGAGCTCTTGGTAAGATTAAACTTTCAATTAAAACCTTGCTGTTATTAACGAGAAGAAAAGGTTTCTCGAGTATATAAATTGCGCTGTTAAAAAGGCTTCCTGAGCCTGCCGGACCCCGAGCTAGGCGTGCCCGGCAACGCCGGTCTCAAGGACATGGTGATGGCGTTGAAATGGGTGCGAAAAAACATCCGGGAATTCTCCGGGGATCCGGATAACGTGACGGTTTTCGGCGAAAGCGCCGGCGGTTCGGCCGCTTTGTATCTCACCCTCTCGCCGATGGCCGAAGGTATATAAAAATCCTAGTATCTGCGGAATTTCCAATCGAAGCGGCAACGCTGTACTGTATTTTAAGGGTTGTTTCACAGGGTCATAGCGCAAAGCGGTGGTGTAACGAATTGCTGGGCGTATTCTAATAAAACATCGGCTTATATGTTGGCTGAGAAAGCGGGGATTTACTCGAACGATGATGCTCTAATACTCAGGCATCTGCAGGAGTTGAGTCTCGAGGATTTGCAGGAGGCCTTGTCGAAGATACCGGATGTAAGTTTAGAGAATTTGAAGGTAATTCGTATGTAAAATTTGGTTGTTTTTGTAGCTACACGCTATAGGTATCTTAAGACCCTTCGGGCCTGTTGTAGAAAAGCCTTCGAACGAACCGGCGTTTCTATCCAAGCAACCCTTGGAGGTGATTCGATCGGGGGAGTACAGCAAAGTGCCGATTATCATGGGTTGCTTGTCTAGAGAAGGAATGTACATATCGGCTTTAATCAAAGGTAGCGCGAAGACTAAATTGTTGATGCATACGACTTTGTTGCCCAATAATTTGGGCATGAGGATCGGTAGTGATGTTCATAAAAGGGCGGCTAAAAGGGTGATGGAGTTCTATTTCGGGGATAAAAAAGATCCTTTGGATGATATCGATTGGGTCAATAAGGTTTGTGATTTTGTGTAAACTGAAATCTGGCAATAATAGAGTAGATTTAGAGTAGATTCTGAATAGTTACAGAGTACATTCAGGGTAGATTAGAGTAGTTTCAGAGTAGAATAGAGTAGAGCGAAGGGCGGCAAATGTTCCTGATTCGATTTAAGCGCTCTTTTGAGCTATTTTAATGTATTATTTTCGATTTAAGCACCATTTAATTTACCATTTTTGTAGTTATACACGGACAATTATTTTTTATACGAAGTATACAGAAACGCCAAGTGTCTTTTGGAAACCAATCCTTGTCCAATATACTTCTATAGGTTCCTGTATGATACGGAATTGAACTTTCTAAAAAATCTCTACGGACTTACCGAGCCTGGTGAGTTTATTTACACTCGACAATTCAATAAAATTGATAAATTCAATTTTTTCTATAATATTTTATCAGGTGCTTGTCATGCAGACGACACGCCATATCTGTTCAAATGCGAGCTGGTGCCCGATGTAGTAGAAGGCAGCGAAGAGGACAGGGCCGTACGCAGGATGGTTAAATTATGGACGAATTTCGCCAAGTACGGTAGACCTACGGTAGATCGAACAGACGCGTTGTTGCCGGTTGAATGGGAACCGATTACTCGGGATAAATTCAAAACGTTCGATATCGGACCGGAGATGAAGCAACACGACCACCATCCGGAGCAAAAGTACATGGAATTCTGGGATGACATGTTCCGAACCGGCGCCGTTGCCACGTCTAAATTGTAGCAGATTAAAATACAAAATGGTTAATTATTTTTAATAACTCGCTAACAACAATTTATCGTATACAACCTATATACTAACAAAAATTTAATCGCTTTTCGAATGCATATGAGCCGATTTATCGTTCATAATTTCCCGAGCATTTTTCTCATCGTCTTTCACGGTAAATGTGACATAATATCTCTTGTTCTGATCCAATTTGTTCGTGGGCAAACAGATGACTTGCTTGTCGTCGCCTCGACTCAATTCTAAAGTAACCGATGGTTTCTTCGGGTTTATGGTGGGCAGGAAACATCCCGTGCCGGGCCTGCACTCGGTCGAATCGTCGAAACCGATCTTCGGTATCGTGTGATGGTCCATTTTCGGCACTAAAAAAAAAATCGGTAAATCTACGATAATTGCGCTAATATCGGCAACGTTGCGTGTGCTAAATAATTCCTGGAATCTACGGTTAATCGCACTAATATTCGCAATGGTGTATAGTAAACAAAACTCCCTCAATCTAAGGAATTCGTACTTATTTTGGCAACGTCGCAGAGTGAACAAAAATCCTTCAATATACAGAAATCGTACTAATCTCGGCAACGTTGCATAGTGAACAAAAATGCCTTAATTTAAGGAAATCGTACTAATATTGGCAACGTTGCATAGTGAACAAAAATGCCTTAATTTAAGGAAATCATACTTATTTTGGCAACGTCGCAGAGTGAACAAAAACCCTTCAATATACGGAAATTGTACTAATATTGGCAATGTTGCATAGTGAACAAAAATCCCTTAATCTAAGGAAATCATACTTATTTTGGCAACGTTGCATAGTGAACAAAAATAACTCAATCTACGGAATTCTTACTAATCTGGGCAACGTCGCCGATTGAACAAAAATCCTTCAATATACTGAAATCGTACTAATATTGACAACGTTGCATATACTAAATAATCTCTCAATCTACTGAAATCCTACTAATTTTGGCAACGTTGTATATACTAAATAATCTACTCAATCTACTGAAATCCTACTAATTTTGGCAACGTTGCATATACTAAATAATCTCCCAATCCACTGAAATCGTACTAATAATATCGACAACGTTGTATATACTAAGCAATCTACTGAAATCCTTCTAATTTTGACAACGTTGCATTTACTATATACTCCCTCAATCTACTGAAATCGTACTCATCTCGGCAACGTTGCATATACCAAAATCCTCCCCAAATCTACCGTTAATCGAACCAACCTCGACAACGTTGCATAGCGAACACAACAAAACAATTCCCGTAAATCCACCGAAATACCACCAAACCCGGCAACGCCGCAAAAAAAAAACCACACTTACAGTAGGCGGCGCACGGTACTCCGGTGTAAGCGTGGGCGGCGTGTCCGCACCGGTTGGTACTCCTGGTGCATCGCAACGGATGCTCCCCTCGAGCCGGTAAACCCCTCAAAATCTCCTCGCCCGGAGCCTTCTGCAACCGACGCAGCGCCTCGTAGAGAAACCTCTCGAAGCTCTTGAACGTGTAATCATCGGCGTCGTACCGACCGACGCCCACCGTCGCGGCGCACGTTTTGTGATAGGCGTCGATCGCCCGTTTCACCAGCACCGCCTCGTCGTGTTGCCCGACGCGGATTTGATGGCGTTTCAGCTCGAGCAGCTGCTGGAAGATCTTCCGCTCCAGGTGGTACCTGGTGATATTAACACAACGAAATCGAGTACAATAAAACGATGTGTGGTTGCTACAAAGTACCTTCTGATGTTGCTCTGGATGGTCTGCGTGACGGTGGTCATGTTGACTCCTCTATCGGAGACATTTCTCCATTTAGGGGGAGCCCTGGTGCTCCTCGGGCTCGGCTCGAAACCGGAATCGATCAGATTGCTGCTCTCGTAGTCGCTGCCGGCGCTTCGGGAGCCCCGCGACGCCTTCGATCGACGCTTCACCAGGCGCTTGTTCTTCCCTTTGGGGGCGTCGTCGACGTCGGCGTCGGAATCGAGGCTGTCCGGGTGCTTGTCTACGTTAGAGGTGCATCTGGGAGGCTTCTTGTCCGCGTTGGAGGAGCACCTGGTGGATCTGGCGCGAGAGATGTTGGGTAACGATGGTACCCGCAGGTCGAGGTCGGTTTCCTTGTAGGTTTGGTGGAGGTTTCTGTCGGATTTCGATAGGGGGCGTTTGGTTAATAAAGGCGTGGGGATTTTGCTGCGTTTTAATTTCTCTTTGTTGATGGTTTCTAAGGATCTGGATCGAAGTTGAAGTTCGTCGTTGGGGTGTTTGTCTTTGAGAACGCGGAAACTTCGATGGGTTCGTTCCAGGGAATCTTCTTCGTCCGAGAACACCGAAGAATCGCTGTAATCTTCGATCTTTTCTTTCTTTAATTGCACATTTGCTTCTTTCTCAACGGAACCTTCTGCATATGCATCTTTCCTAACGTCGTTTATTTCTACGTTTTCTTCCTTTTTCTTTACCAAATTCGTCGCTTTATCTTCACTAATAATTATTTCCTTGGAAGAACCATTCGCATCTCTCTTACCAACTTTCCCTTCTTCCATTCCACCCTCTTTAACATCCTCTTCGGTTTTAACTCGTTCACTCGATTCCCTCCCTTCCTTCATTCCACCATCTTTAACGTCCTCTTCTGGTTTTCGTTCACCCGATTCAATTCCTTCATCCATTTTAACATCTTCTTCTTCTTCTTCGATTTTAACAACCTCCCTCGTTTCGTCTACTTCGATTTGAGTTTCGATCGTAACTTTACTCTCTCTACAACTTTCCTCGACGACAAGCGGAGATTTAGGTAGCGGATGCACGGACGCTTCTACCACAATCTCCTTCTTGGGTTCCTCCTGATCCTCGCTGGTGAAGGATGCTTCATCCGGAAGGGTTCTCGGAGGTTCCTCTGAGGTATTGGTGGCGTGATCGGTTTTGGAGACGCTCGCCTGGCTCGAAATGCTCACCATAATCTCCTTGTTGATGCTCGATTGGGCCGATCTGTCGCGGAATTTCCCGTATTTAGCGCTCTTCGGCCTCGCCGATGTTTGAGTTTGCACCGATTCCTTGTTATCTATGACTATTCCATTAAAATTTAACCGACCGTTAATCGTTATTTCGTTAGTATAATCCATCCTACCGGTAGGTGTGCGTTTCTTCTCATCTTTGCTCGATTTCTGCTTCGTTAACTTCGCTTTACCGTCGGGTTTTCTTCGATTCTCGTTCTCCGATGAACTACCCCCGTAGAGGGTGACGTCGTCTCTGATGCGGAGGCTCAATGGGGGCGCGTCGAGGTCGCTCAAACGCGACGCCGGGACGCCCCCGTGCACCTGCAGGAATTTCGCGGTAGACCGGTGGCCCTTTTGCAGGGCGCAATCCAGCGGAGTCACGAATGTGTTTTTCGAAGTCCTCAAAATGGGGTTCACTTCGGCGCCGGCGTCCAAAAGTATCTGCGAATTAATTGTATATAAGAAACGAAAATTTGTGTATGTAAAGTGTGGATATAATTTAGGATTTATTTACGTTGCTGGATATGATTATGTTGGTGTTGATGTTGGTCATCAAGTAATCGGTGGCGTCGTCGATTGTTTCCTGGAAATACGACATGGCTTCCTTGATGGTGCCCTTTTTACCTTTGTATTTACCTGAAGGTACCTAATTTCGTTTTCGAATAATAACATCTACTCGACTACTTTCATAACGCAAGTATCGTAGAGGTTCTTTCGAAAGAACTTTCAACAATTCTTGCGTTGTGGAAGAGTACGAGTTGTGATGTTAAATGTTGTCTAATAAAATTAGATACCATGTTTGATTAAAAAAAGGGAGCGATTAAATCGGAGAACTAAACGGTTTAGCGACCGTAAGTGGACTGAATGCTCGATTAAAAGTGGAAATAATCGCAGAGGAAGGGAATTCGTAAAGGGCGAGCAAACGAAATCGAAACGCAAGCGCTCCCTTTCCTAAAGCAAAAAAAAAACACAAGAATTTATTATTAGAACATGGGCTGAAATCGGTGCGTGATGTAGGCCAGTCGAATCGCAATTATTCGCAAAATAAACACCCCCGAAACGTCGATTCAAATGTAGGTAACACGAAAACTCTAACCTTGATGTCCTCGAGTTAACGACGTCCGAGATAGACATCGAAAAATAATCGATCTAAATTCTTAATGTGGAAATCACCTTGCACATGTCCGAGTTGTCGTTGGAAGCGGCCGCGTGCAATGGACATTTCCCGTCGTTGTTTCGCGCGTTCGTCTGGCTGGGCCTCATCTCCAACAGCCACTTCACCAGGTCCCTTCTGCCGGAGGCGGCGGCGTCGTGTAACGGGAAATCCCCGCGGGCGTTGCGTAGCCACAAATTCGCGCCGCGATTGCCTGCACAACGAACATAGTAAGAGGCCAATTGGCTGTATTGGGGGAATAGTAAGAGGCCGGTGAACTGGATTGTTTTTAGCGAGTTAATAAGAGTCACAAGAAGGATTTTTTTTAGAGGCCGGAGAAGGACTATTTGGATGTGTTGTGGGAATAGTAAGAGGGCGGAGAAGGATTTATTTAGCGAGTTTGTAGGAGTAGGAAGGATTATTTAATTGGCTGTGTTTGGGGATAGTAAGAGGCCGGTGAAGGATTGTTTTTAGCGAGTTAGTAAGAGGCTGAAGAAGGATTATTTGGCTGTGTTATGAGGTAATAGAAAACAGAAAGAGGCTCACCTATTAGTTTGACGGTTTCGAATTGTCCTTTGGCGCATCCGCAATGAGCGGGACTCCTGCCTTTGCGGTCCTGTCGGTTGGGATCGGCCCCGTGGGCTAGTAGAAGAGCAGTGGCGTCCGCGTGACCTATGCATTATTATTATTATTATTAACGGGACATTAATTAGTGGAAAACGACGACCAAATTTACGCAAATATTCGCGAATTTCACACTCGGCGTGTAAGTTGGAGTTTAAAACGCACAAACTGTCAAAATTGTCACTTCTTCTTTTTCTTCTTTTTCGATTTTACCGGGTTCGACTACTAAGATCATTCAGCCGTATAAATCGGATTTTTAACGGATTTTACAAAAAATTTCACTACATACGCTTTAACATTAAACTCAGACACGAAATTTTTCACTCGGACATTAAAATATATTTCAGATGGTTAAGGTATTTTATGAAATACGCGAAACAGAAACTCAATTGACATTATAATGACGTTTCGTATGACAGCGATTTAATAGAGGTGGGAATCGATTTTTCGGTATAGAGATGCGCGTCAACGACCGTTACAAAATAACCGTTATTTTTCAAATATCTTTCTACTCTATTCGAATCCATTCGAAATCGATTTATCGATCATTTACCGGTTTATCCTCACCTAAAGTAACGGCGTAATGCAAGGCGGTGCACCCGTTCGAATCGATCACATCGACCGAAGCCCCGCAGAGCGTGAGCAGAGTATCCAAGCAATCGGTGTGTCCCCTGGAGGCGGCGCAATGCAGGGCCGTCAGGCCGTCCTTGTCGGCCGCCTCGACGGCGGCGCCGGCCCTGATCAGCGCCAGGACGGCGCCGGCCGAGCCCGAACTGGCCGCCCAAAGGAGAGGCTGACGCCCGTCCGAGTCCTCGCAGGCGACTTCGGCGCCCGGATGGGCGAGCAACAGGCGGAGGACTTGCAAGCCCAGGTCCGAGTCTTTCTCCTGATTGATTTTTTTAATTATTTTAATTGGTTCAGGGGAATTTTGTACTTACACCGGCGCCCATTTGGGCGGCGTAGTGGAGGGGGTAGCCCCCGTGTACGTCGGGTGTGGAGACTCGGGCGCCTGCTGTTAACACTGCTCGTAAAGCCGACGTTTCTCCGCATACTGGAAAACGTAGAATAAGTTTATACACTGCTCGTCACTAATTAGCGACTCTCGCGCTTTGTTTTTTTGATGCCTTGTATATAAAATTGGCTGTGTAAACGAATTTACGGGGCTTTGACAATGCGCTAATTTACTTTCGACCGGGCAGTGTATAATATCAATACAAAATAACATTCATTATCGAGCCTGATGATTGTAATTTGTACAACACGCGAATATTATTTGCATTATTTCCATAATGTCGCTTTTAAAATTCAAACGCTTTTATAACACCGACCTAGTCAAGTCAAGTGCGCTGTGTATGACAATAGAAACGTATTTTTATACGTAGGCCTTGACATTTACGTCCGTCATTGGTCATTGTCATTGTAGCATGGCCCTCTTTTCACACAAAATCAAACGGAAATTCGATATAGTCGATATATAAGGAATATATTAAACGCGAAAGTCAAGGCCTCTTTAGTGTTACTTGTCATATATCCTCAAATAGACAAGAACAAAGCATATTGAAGAAAATTTCTTTATATGTCTGTTTGAAACTAATAATAAATTGAAAGAAGAAGTAGAAGAAGATACATAATATGTTCCTCTGATGAAGAAAATAACATCTCTTCTACTTCATACCTTCTTTCGCCTGAAAACGTCATCGAATGAGGCTACCACAAAGGAATCTGTCATAGATATGTCAATTGGCTGTCATCTGTCAAACTTCTCTCAACTGACAAACTTCTGTCAACTGTCAAACTTCTGTCAACTGTCGAACTTCTGTCAACTGGCAAACTTCTGTCAACTGTCAAACTTCTGTCAACTGTCAAACTTCTGTCATCTGTCAAACTTATGTCATCTGTCAAACTTCTTTTATCTGTCAAACTTCTGTCAGCTGTCAAAATGACAGTTCAGTATATAAATACCTGTAGCCCAATGGACGACGGTGTGCCGTTCGTTGTCCAAGGCGTCGACGTCGGCGCCGTTGGCTAAAAGGAAATTGACCAGTTGCATGTTACCGGCGATGACGGCCAAATGCAATGGTGTGAAACCGTCCTCGTCGGTGCCGTCGATCAAATCGGGGGCGGCCATGACTAGAAGATCGGCCGTTTCGGCGGCTGTACGACGTTGGCTGGTACTCGAATAGTGCAAGGCCGTTTTGCCCGTTCTGTCTCTATCCAATATGGTATTGCTGATGGGTGACTAGATTGGATTTCACTTTATTTTATTTTGTTTTATCGTAGAAGTGCGAATAAGGATGCAATATGATGGTTATTTAAATGAGTATAAGAGGGATAACAAATTTGCATTTATGTGAAGAGTATGTATGAAGGAATAATTATTATAATAATGAATATATTGCACTTTAATTTTTCACTATACGATACTACACAATAATACAAAAATAATATCCGGAAGGTACGTTAACTTGACTAGATTGATTAATGATCGAGGCCAATAAAAAAAAAATAACAAACAAACATCCAAGTTACCATAGTAATACTATATCCGAAATAAACAGACGAGTGCATTCAACCGAACGTATAAATAAGGGTTGGAAAAAATTCACGAAAAAAAAAAGAAGAGTCGAAACGAAAATTAATAATTTCGTCAAAAAAAAATAATTATTTAAAAAAATATAAAACGAACCCGACGGACGCCGATGATCCTCCTGACGACGTCGACGTCCCCCTGTTGAGCGGCGTACATGAGCGTCGAGACGCCGTCGTGGGGCGTCCGTCGCGATCGGCGGCGTCGTTCGACTGCGTCACGACGACGTCGGGACGCCGTCTGTACGTTCATCGTCGTCGACGATGAGAATCGGTCGACGTCGCGACGCTCTTTGCTCGCTTATTCATCTCCTTATCTATACAAGCACGCGGAGCTCTTGATGGATGTGTGAAAGAAAAAAATTATAGATTACATGTTATAGATTAACATGAATTTACTTACCTATAGTTCGTTCAATTTAATTATTGAGTGACGTCAGGCGTGGAATAAATTTGATTAAATGTAGGTCATGTCTCTGTCGTAGTGTAAAGAAGTTTTCGCTTTTCTGGGGAATCGCGTGAGTTCGTAATTCCGTCTGCACGAAAGCCTTTTCATTTTCCAATTACTTTTTCTTCGTTTTCAATTTCACCTTGCACGTGTTTTGTTTATAACGGGCTCATTTCGATCGAAGTGTGCTCGAACTGTCAATTCCTTTCGCCTACTGTCATTATCCAACGCCAACCTAGTTGGAAAAACTATTTTGTAATTTCTGACGGTGTAATTACGCCGGTTCGATTGAAATATAATTAACGATTTAATTAAAATATATCTATTAATTGAAGAATTGTTTCAGAAAATAACCTACATAAAAGTGTGTGTATGTGTGTTTTTTTTCTTAGCTATTTATTTTTATGAGTGGTGCAATTTGCAAAATTGGTCAGGTATGTGTGGAAAATTAGGTCGATCGTCGGTCAGGGTCGAAGAAAATCGAAGGAAATTAACATACGCGATTTATTTACGCCCGTAATTCCTGCCATTTAATTAAATCAAACCGCTCTCGTGTTTATAGTTCTTTTCTTTTATACGCTCTAGATTCCGAATAAATGAATTTTTATGTCAAAATACTCACCCTTCTTCTAAATACGTGTCACGTGTCACATTCCTCACGCACGGCCACTTGATTTTCCACTAGTGTCTGAACGATGTTCTTCGCACGTTCCGATTTGTTTTGATTTTATTTTCGTCGCCGTGGAAACCCGAAAACTTTTTTAAACAATTAGCGATACCGCCTTATTAACGATATGTAGGAATGTGGCATGAGAAGACGAGGTGGCCGAGTGGTTAAGGCGTTGGACTGCTAATCCAATGGGCTCTGCCCGCGTGGGTTCGAATCCCATCCTCGTCGAATTTTTTTTTGGTTTTTTATTTTCGTAAATAATTAGCGAAATGTTTAGAATATTGATTGTAATATTTTTGTGCAAATTCGGTGCATAATCTACAATATCTTATAATAAATCTGTTTTTTAGTAGTGAGTGACTGTATTCCTTAAGAGCAAGAGACAACAAACTAGGAATATGATTTTAGTGACATAATTGAGTTGGCAGCAATGAAAATAACGGCCATTTTGAAATTTGAATAACGAATGAAGCTGTCAAAGTCAAACTAGTGGCGTCTTCGCGTCTTGTTTCTTTTTTGATACATTTTGGAATGTTTGATTTAATTAAAAACGTTTCTGTAACGAAAATCGTGCAATTAAATTACCGTAGAACATCGATTTACAAAAATGGACGATATACGTGAGGAAATATGGGAGATATTACGTAAAATACAAGAATCTTCCGGTTGTCACGTAAAGTACATGAAAAAACTAGAAAGTCTCTACAAAAAGGTACGTAATTTACGTTTATTCCTTTATTATTCTTTCGAATATACGAATTATCATTTCAGTCTGATATCGAAGATTTTACCGAAGCATTTACATATATTCTACAAATTGTATTTTCAAAAAACTCGTCCAGTAAAGAGAAGAGAACAATTTTGGCACTACAATTTCTAACATCATTCCTAGCCCAAATTAAAGTTATCACAAAAGATGATGATGATGATGATGATTTACTGGATACACTCAGCGAAGATTCACCACCGGATTTCTTCACCAACATGATCACATATTCTTTAAAAGTAATATCTTTATACCAACGTTTCTTTGTAATATTTTTATTATTCTACTTGTAGTTCATCGGTTTGACGTCTCAAGATCATCGAATCAACTCGTGCAAGTTCATAAACATGTCCCTCGACAAAATAGGCCACGCAGCCACTCTGGATAACGATTTATGCGATAAAATCCAGGAGGGCATGCTCGAGAGGCTCTGGGTACGTGTAATTTACTCTACGCTTTGATATGTTAACGATATAACGAGATAATATATGAACAGGATACCAAGTATGAAGTGAAATCACAAGCTGTAAAAGCCCTGACGAGGCTCCAAGACCCCGAATCCAAATACTGCCCGGTGATCAAGAATTTCCTCGAGTTGCTTCGAAACGTCAATTCCAAGGTATTAGTACTCTTTCGTACAAGTTATTCAGCTAACTTACGATATGTTGTAGTTGAGAAACGATGTCTTGACTGTGATCGCAGGCAACGCAATAACCATTCCGCATATGATATCCCGAATGAGAGACTCGGATCCCACCGTAAGGCTTACAGCTTACACGAAACTGTCCAGAGTGAGCATAAAACGGATCAAGATCGTCGATAGACAATTGATATTGAATTGCGGTTTGACCGAGAAGGAGGAGTCGATTAGAAAATGCTTCGTGAATAGCCTCTTACCCAATTGGGTGTTGGGCAACAGGGGCGATTACTTGGCGTTCTTGAATTGCTTGAAATACGACGGAGATGAAGCCGATATGTATAACACTGATAAACTTATTAAGGAAACTTTGAAGCTCATGTTGCGGTTAGTTTAATACAAACGATCGATTAATCGATGATATATTTGTGTGTGTGTGTGTTTTAGAGACGTTCCGGTAGGTGATATGTTGAAATGTTTATCGCTAAAGGAAGACACGAAATTGCCCGAGAGGCCTTTAACCTACGAGTTATCGGTTTTGTGGTGTACTGTAGTGAAGCATATGAGACTTGTAGAAGGTGATACAATGGCGATTTTTAACGAAAATATCACCAGTCTTACGTTGTTGTGTAATTACATCGAACGGTAGGTGTTTTGGATCGATTTAAGAGTGTTAATATTCGAGGTGTGTTATCTTTGTAGGTTTTTATTAGACAATTCGAAGGAATTGGAGGTGTTAGATCGTACGTTTATTTTATATAATCTATTCGAGATAGCCGAAGGGTACGATTTTAGCGATGTGGTGAGTATACAGTGATTAGAAATCTCACAATTTTTAGATGTATTTTTTTAGATCGGTCGAAATACACTCCGCGAGTTGTTATTGGTTTATTTACAAACGCCCGATAGACCGTTTAAACTAACAGAATTCGCCGTTAGGATGCTCTACAAAGTTTTATTGAAAAAAGATGACTTTATAACGACGATTTGCAACGTTCTATTGAATTATCAGGAACGTTTCGAGGAGTTTTCTTCGCAAGAAACCGCCAGTTCGGTAGGGAAAATACATACACTCGTACAATCTACTATTATATATAAACGTATTTTCGCTTCGTTTTATTAGATAAAGTTAAAAGAGGAAGCTAAATATAATTGCTTATGTTTGGACGTTGTGATGGCGGCGTTAAAAGTGAAAGAAATCTCATCGATGGATCCGTTTTTGAGGAGAATCTTCGACGAATTCGTCGTGCCTCTATTGAAGAGCTCTAACGAAGAAGTACACGGAAAATTGGTGGATTGCGTCGCTTTGTATATGCTAATCGACGAGAAATTGGCCAAGGAACATTTGAAATTTATATGTTTTCCCGTACGTATATTAACATATTTATTATTCTATATTTAACGATTGGTTTATTTCAGATTCTATGTTATAAAGCTACCTCGAATTACAATCAACACGTGCTGGTTTCGTCTATTAACGCGATATGCGATCTGTACAGGTAATTTTACACTCTAATCTGCCATTTTATCTACACCGGAGTGACTCTCGATGTATTATTTTCATAGAGTATGGGGTACCAGTTTGTACAACGAACAAGATTCTCCGAATACTAATAACGAAAAGAGCACAAATAGAAGAAGATTGTACAGCAGCAGCGATGAATCCGAGGAGAATCAAGATCGTGTGTTTGGTATGCAATTGAAAATCGATAAAATAGTGGAGATGATTTTAGATATCAGCGATGACGAGGTAAATAAATAAATAAATCGACCGATTTAGATCGATTACATTCGTATACATTCCAGTCGAACGAGATCAAAGAGGCCTCATTGTTGGCTCTAAAGAAGCTCATCGTGGCGAATTATCCCGTCTCTCCCGCTCTATTTACTCGGCTCATATTGAAGTACTACAATCCCTTGACTTGTACGTTATCCAGCCATTTAGTTTAACTCGATTAAAACGACTCTCTTTGTAGTTAAATCGTCGAGTTGTTGCAAGTACATCATCAGCGATATCATAACGGTGTTGCCGCAATGTAAAAACATGTTTGCGACGTTTTCCGAATCGATTATACCGATTTTTAGGGGTGTAGTTAACGCCCCATCGAATAGCCCTTTGAGGACTGTAGATGGGAATAATTTAACGAAGTTTCTGGGTTCGATGTTACAGGCGCAATCGGATAAGAATCCGGTGAGATAATTCTATCAAAATTATCGATTCGTTTAACTAATTAATGGTTTTTTCAGGACGTGATTTGGTCAGATTTGATTTTTACGATGATTAAAGAGGCGAGAAGTTGTAAAAATAACGCGATGGTTTCGTTTATTTCGAAGATGGTTTTGCAAATGGAGCTCAAGAGTTTAAATGCATCGGTTATTAAGGAAATCAAAGTGCAATGCGATGCACTTTTAGAGACAACGGTGAGGATGTTTGTCTATTTTCGATAATATTTATTTTGGTTTGTTGATTTTGCAGAAATTGGACAAGTTTACTGGCAAAAATTTCGCGAAATTCAATGAGAATTTGGACAAACTGATGCGAAACGAAAACGATTCGAATCCGACGGATAGTTGCAATAATATTGATAATACAAGAATAAATAACGGAGTATTAAAGAAAACTCGCGAGATTATTATACCGTTGAAAAACTTGAGTATAAGCGGTAAGTACGACTTTAATTTATTACTAATTTCATCTAAATTTGGTATTTTATAGAAACGCAATCTGATAATTCGGATATCTCGAGCACTGAGCAAGTGAGCGAAGAGGAAATTAACAATTCGAATTCAAAGATATCGAAGGATTCCACTTGTAAGGATAAAGAAGATAAAGAAGAAGAAGAAACGGGGAATAACTCGCAGAAAAGGAAATCGAAATGCGACGAATCATCGGACGATTCGAATATAGTGCAATCGAGTCAAGATTCTTACATAACTCGAGGCCTTGTTAGAAGTAATTTGAACGGTAAAAGAAGAAAAGCCGTACAAAATGTTCAATTATCTGATGATGCCGATGTGATACCGGCCACTCAGGAAGAGGCCACGATAAATGGTGCTCGTAGAAGAGTAACGAGGTCCTCTGCGAAGAGTAGAAACTTGGATAAACGAAAGGATAAGATAGATGATTTACAACCAAAGACGAAGAAAGCGAAAATTAAAAGCAAATAGGTAAGAGTGTGATACAAACACTCCCTTATACGAGGGTGGATAAAAATATTTTTGTTTCAGAAGTCCGTCACGTTATGTACTAATTTGTTGTTTATATATTTATTGATTTCTACATGAATTTCTTTAGAGACGGGGGCGAAGTTGGGTCATGATTTGTTAATTTTTTTTTTTTGGGCGAAATTTATTTTTTTACCGAGCCATATTTTGGGATTTTTTCATTATCAAATGAACGCATAATTTGACCTAACTTCGCGCGCGTACACAAATACTTACTAGATTTATATTCAAGAAATTGGAATTCTATATATGTATATTTCTACCGATTTATTTACTAATAAAACAATTTCCGAAGTTTACGTGGTTTTTATTCAGAAAATGCATCGAAAAATGCTTGAAAAAGTGCTTGAAAAATTCCGCTTCGATCTCCTGCAATCGCACCGCCCTCGCTTGGTTCTTCTCCTCCGACGTCATATCTTTGCGTTTCTTCCGTTTCACGTCGTCGTCTTCGGAACCCGAACAGACGCTCTTCTCCTTTTTGCTCGATTTGCTGTGTTTCTCGCAGTACGAACGCAATTTTACGCCGTCGTCGGCGTTCTCGTCTTCGATGATCGCTCGCATTTCCAAGCCGTGCTTGAAGGCGCACGTCACGTGATAGGCGGTTTTGCAAGTCTTCACCGAGCACTGGATGCACGCCCCGACGCGTTCTCTGCACAACACGCAGATCAAGGCCCATCGGCTTTGCGGTATGCTCGACACCTTCGTGATGGGTTCCATCTTTTCCACGCATCCTATCGAAAACACACATTAGATTAGTAATTTATTTATTTATTTATTTATAGATGTGAATTTAAGTGATAAGAAGAAACTTACCGATGCTAACTTCGGGTATCCACAGAGCGCAAGAAACGTGGGCCCACTTTTGCCCCGTTCGAAGGCATTTCATGGCGCCCCCTTTGTTGGGACACAGCACGCATTCGGGCCTCTTGCCGATGTTGCACGTGCAACACAACCATTGCCCTTCGGGTATTCGAGTTATGCCGTAGCACGCTTGATGTACGCATATATTGCAACTATCGCAAAACACCATTTCGTTGCCCTCTTCGGAGTCGGGCGATCGACAAACGTCGCAAATCACGTTCTCGTCGTATTCTATACCTACAAAAAAGATATATAAATATATATATACAGATTGTACGAATTATTCCGCTGCGAGCGAGCATTAGAATTAGAATCTCGATCAATACTGTAAGATACAAAGTAAAGAACGGAAACTTGTTTATCGGTTGCCTGACTATTTCGTATGCTCTCTTTGTTCCTTACATAGCAAAAGTTCAATTAGCTATCTCATTGTATTCTTGCAGCGGAATAATTCGTACGATCTGTATAGTGTTGGAAAGTTATTAGCGCGTGATAGGGAAATGGATGTTGGATTTTTTTGTTGTTGTTGTTGTAAATTCTTATTTAGTTTCGAATTTGCCGCGATAATTTGTGACATTATAGTGAACCGATGTGAAGTTAGGAACAGAGAGTATTTTATATTTTTCCGTTGTGAGTAAAAGGTTCAAAGTTATTTGAGTGTCTTTATGATATTTCAAGAAGGATATTGGCTGATTTTAGCCCATTTTCTTTTCTTTTTTTGGCATTTTTTTGGTTTTTTTTGTCAAGAATAAAAATATGGTATTATTTTAAAGGTTCTACGTACTAACGAGATTTTGCGTTATTAAAATTGACGCTTAATTGTCGGAGCTTTTATTTAAATAAAAATAAAATTATATCTCGAATAAGCTCGACTTATTTTAAACGTTTCTATTTAACGCTTTTTTAGACAAAAATATTAGCAAAAAAACCAAAAAAAAATGTCTTTAACTGCGCGGGGATTGAACCACATTACTTCCATTTCCACCCAATTTTACAATTATTAGATAGTGAGATAAAAATGACACATTTATCACCTTCTACAACTTAATTATACATTTTTTTAATTAAACCAAAACGAATTTAACAAAATTTAACGTCAATTTCGACTAATTTTTCGACGATCTTTTCGAATCTCTCAATATTTTTCACGAACGTCATTTGGTAAAAAAGTTAACTCGCTTTTGACACATTTGTACTATGTCGCATCTTATAAATAACACACTGTATAATCTATAGTTTATCAGATTCGTTTTGTATTAATTAATAATCTAATATGTGTTTACAAAAGAATGCGTATCTCAGAAACTAATCAATATATTCACGTTAAATGGGAATTTTTAAACGATAATTTATCGAAAAAATATCGCTAATATTAAAATAGAATTATGTAGATACGTCTTTTTGCCACAATGGCTCGAAAAAGAAAGTAAATTCTAAGAAAATAATCAAAAAGGAAACTCCAAAAATAAACTTAAAGATTATTTCAAAACAGAAAATAAAACAACTCTAAAAAAATAATCCACCGCTTTCCGCTAAACTATAACCAATCATACAAATTAGGTATAATTCTAGCTGAAAATCGAACTATTTTTCCCCTTATTTCAACAAAATTTGTCGCCGTTTCAAAACTTACACACATTTTTTCGAAACAACCCCAAAAAAAAACCTATCAAATGCAGTTTCTAAACAATTTTCCACCTCACACCTAACACAAATAACTTTGCACCTCTACAAATCGCGGTGTGAACAATTAAATCTATCAGAATTCGAATATCGAAATGTATTTCAACCGACTAAAAACTTCACCATCGATTCCCGTATCACGCGAAATCAAATTTCCAACAACCGTAGACTTCTCATCGTTCGATTTCCACTCCATTCGTGCAACAATAGAGTTCACAATTCACTAAATATCGCAGTAAACGTACCTAAACCCTCTTCGTTTCTGAGTATAGATTGGATTTTATCCCAACAACATAACTCTAATCGCTCGATGACTCGCTCCAATTGTTCCTCGGAGAAGGGCCCCAAACCGCTCGCTGCTCTTTCAGCGTTGAATATCTTCAACCAGGCAACATCGCACTCATCCAAATCATACGAACAAGCAGCTTCGGCTTTCGTCGGAGCGTGAGATAATACGTGATCGTCCGGCTTGAAATTATCGTCTTTCGTGATCCGAATGTATTTTTTAGGTCTACAAAACAATAACAATTAGTCGAAGAATCGAGCGATGAGAAACACTAGAAACAGTACAATTTGAAATCGGTTTGAAGCTTGAACCTCGTCGAGCTCGATTTGACGGTGACCAACGGTTCGGGTAACGAATCCGGATTGACCGGAACCTGCACGCCCCTTTCCCATTCCTGTTTCCATTGATCGACGATCACCCAGTATTCGTCGTTTGCTAATGGTTCGGAATCGGGCAGTTTCATTGCTATAAAACACAAAAAGGTTTTAGTATTTGTAAAGTGGACGATACGATCGGTTCTTTGCTAGAATATACGAACGAAAACTGGTAGAAAATGGGGTTTGTTGGGTGTTTATTTCGTCAAAATTTGATCGGTACGAGTGTAGGAAACTATGGAATACAAAAAGGTTTTTAGTACTTGTAGATACAATCAATTTGTGGCTGTAAATCTGATCAGTACGAGTGCAGGAAACTATGGAATACAAAAAGGTTTTTAGTACGAGTAAATACGATCGATTTGTGGTATAAATCTGATACAAAAACTAGTAGAAAATGGGGTTTTGTTGGGTGTTTATTTCGTTAAAATCTGATCAGTACGAGTGCGGGAAATTATGGAATACAAAAAGGTTTTTAGTACGAGTAGATTCGATCAATTTGTGGTGTAAATCTGATACAAAAACTAGTAGAAAATGGGTTTTGTTGGGTGTTTATTTCGTCAAAATCTGATCAGTACGAGTGCAGGATTGTATGGAATACAAAAAGGTTTTTAGTACGAGTAAATACGATCAATTTGTGGCTGTAAATCTGATACAAAAAACTAGTAGAAAATGGGGTTTTGTTGGGTGTGTTATTTCGTCAAAATCTGATCAGTACGAGTGCAGGAAACTATGGAATACAAAAAGGTTTTTAGTACGAGTAAATACGATCAATTTGTGGTATAAATCTGATACAAAAACTAGTAGAAAATGGGTTTTGTTGGGTGTTTATTTCGTCAAAATCTGATCAGTACGAGTGCAGGATTGTATGGAATACAAAAAGGTTTTTAGTACGAGTAAATACGATCAATTTGTGGCTGTAAATCTGATACAAAAACTAGTAGAAAATGGGGTTTTGTTGGGTGTTTATTTCGTCAAAATCTGATCAGTACGAGTGCAGGAAACTATGGAATACAAAAAGGTTTTTAGTACGAGTAAATACGATCAATTTGTGGCTGTAAATCTGATACAAAAACTAGTAGAAATGGGGGTTTTGTTGGGTGTTTATTCGTCAAAATCTGATCAGTACGAGTGCAGGAAACTATGGAATACAAAAGGTTTTTAGTACGAGTAAATACGATCAATTTGTGGTATAAATCTGATACAAAAACTAGTAGAAAAATGGGTTTTGTTGGGTGTTTATTTCGTCAAAATCTGATCAGTACGAGTGCAGGAAACTATGGAATACAAAAAGGTTTTTAGTACGAGTAAATACGATCAATTTGTGGTATAAATCTGATACAAAAACTAGTAGAAAATGGGTTTTGTTGGGTGTTTATTTCGTCAAAATCTGATCAGTACGAGTGCAGGAAACTATGGAATACAAAAAGGTTTTTAGTACGAGTAAATACGATCAATTTGTGGCTGTAAATCTGATACAAAAACTAGTAGAAAATGGGGTTTTGTTGGGTGTTTATTTCGTCAAAATCTGATCAGTACGAGTGCAGGAAACTATGGAATACAAAAAGGTTTTTAGTACGAGTAAATACGATCAATTTGTGGTATAAATCTGATACAAAAACTAGTAGAAAATGGGTTTTGTTGGGTGTTTATTTCGTCAAAATCTGATCAGTACGAGTGCAGGAAACTATGGAATACAAAAAGGTTTTTAGTACGAGTAAATACGATCAATTTGTGGTATAAATCTGATACAAAAACTAGTAGAAAATGGGTTTTGTTGGGTGTTTATTTCGTCAAAATCTGATCAGTACGAGTGCAGGAAACTATGGAATACAAAAAGGTTTTTAGTACGAGTAAATACGATCAATTTGTGGCTGTAAATCTGATACAAAAACTAGTAGAAAATGGGGTTTTGTTGGGTGTTTATTTCGTCAAAATCTGATCAGTACGAGTGCAGGAAACTATGGAATACAAAAAGGTTTTTAGTACGAGTAAATACGATCAATTTGTGGTATAAATCTGATACAAAAACTAGTAGAAAATGGGTTTTGTTGGGTGTTTATTTCGTCAAAATCTGATCAGTACGAGTGCAGGAAACTATGGAATACAAAAAGGTTTTTAGTACGAGTAAATACGATCAATTTGTGGTATAAATCTGATACAAAAACTAGTAGAAAATGGGTTTTGTTGGGTGTTTATTTCGTCAAAATCTGATCGGTACGAGTGCAGGAAACTATGGAATACAAAAAGGTTTTTAGTACGATTAAATACGATCAATTTGTGGTATAAATCTGATACAAAAACTAGTAGAAAATGGGTTTTGTTGGGTGTTTATTTCGTCAAAATCTGATCAGTACGAGTGCAGGAAACTATGGAATACAAAAAGGTTTTTAGTACGAGTAAATTCGATCAATTTGTGGTGTAAATCTGATACAAAAACTAGTAGAAAATGGGTTTTGTTGGGTGTTTATTTCGTCAAAATTTGATCAGTACGAGTGCAGGATTGTATGGAATACAAAAAGGTTTTTAGTACGAGTAAATACGATCAATTTGTGGTATAAATCTGATACAAAAACTAGTAGAAAATGGGTTTTGTTGGGTGTTTATTTCGTCAAAATTTGATCAGTACGAGTGCAGGAAACTATGGAATACAAAAAGGTTTTTAGTACGATTAAATACGATCAATTTGTGGCTGTAAATCTGATACAAAAACTAGTAGAAAATGGGTTTTGTTGGGTGTTTATTTCGTCAAAATCTGATCAGTACGAGTGCAGGAAACTATGGAATACAAAAAGGTTTTTAGTACGAGTAAATACGATCAATTTGTGGTGTAAATCTGATACAAAAACTAGTAGAAAATGGGTTTTGTTGGGTGTTTATTTCGTCAAAATCTGATCAGTACGAGTGCAGGAAACTATGGAATACAAAAAGGTTTTTAGTACGATTAAATACGATCAATTTGTGGTATAAATCTGATCTCTACGAGTGCAGGATTGTATGGAATACAAAAAGGTTTTTAGTACGAGTAAATACGATCAATTTGTGGCTGTAAATCTGATACAAAAACTGGTAGAAAATGGGTTTTGTTGGGTGTTTATTTCGTCAAAATCTGATCAGTACGAGTGCAGGAAACTATGGAATACAAAAAGGTTTTTAGTACGAGTAAATACGATCGATTTATGTTATAAATCTGATCATTACGAGTACAGAAAACTCACCAGAAATAAGATCTTTCCGAAATAACTCAGCAGGCGCTTCAGTCGTAGTGCGATTATAAATACTTTTTAAATCATTAGAACGCGGAGGTTGCCAGACGGCTCCGGCTCCACCGGATACCCCACCGGATACCCCACCGGATACTCCACCGGTATTTCCGGAGGTTGTCGAAGCGATATTTGCCAAGGCGGCCGTTTCTTCTTCTTCCGCCGTCGTACGCTAAAATAATAAGCGAATTAGTAAAAGTATTACTACAAATCGTACGATAAAACTTACTTTACGCCTTTTAGCAGGTACCGAGCCATCTTCAGAACGATTAGGCCTCTTTGCTCTATGTGACATTGCACTCAGTTTGTGCAGGCGGGATTAATCCTGCAAAATGGGAATGTTTTAAGGCTCTTTTACTTACGTTTTATCGTTTACATTTCGATCTGGGATGCGATAGAATGTCTTCATTTCGTTTAAATAAGTTATTGGTAAAATTTCAACTTACTACATAGCTTTCCAAGACTTGCACAAACGGTAAGCACATAATCAGGTCTGAAAGAAGAAGAAAACCTTTGTTAACAATAACATTCTAATGTGCTGTATTGAAGCTATGAAATAATGTAAAGACGTTGTTTATGCAGCATTGGAATTAAAAGTAAAAAAAAGTAAGGTTTTCATTATAGCCTTCGGCTATCGTCTAGTGAATGGATTTATATCGTAGTTATATTGTATAGCATGCAAATAAAGTAGATTGCATGCCATATCAACGATAATAGCTGTTATTCTAAGGGAAATTGTTGAAATTTCTAGTGACAAACAGCAGAGGTGTCTCCCATGTCTACTTTGTAAACATTTCACTCGAGCCAGCACTAGCACGCACAATGTTTTACACTTTTCGAATGAATAAATCTACGGAAAATTCGCTCGTTTCATTACCATTTCGAAAGAATTTCTCATGCTTTCGATTGATTTTTTACAGAATTTTCATTAAATCGACTCCATTAGACTCCATTTGGTAAGCCTAACAACATTGACAATACAGAGGGCGCCACTATCGCCCGAAAGTCGACACAACAGTAAACTATCTGTCTTTCTTTCTTCGCTATTTCGTAATTTTTACACCGTTTGCATGAAATTAATCAATAAAATTTATTCCACATCTCGAAAAATGCTTCGAATTATTCCCTTTCGTCCCTGCGAAATAATTACCATCGCGTATTCTGCCGATTTTTTGCTCCAAAGAAAGAGGGAATTTCATTATAGTCCTATCTCTTTTTAAAATTTATTTGTCCCAATTCACGGATTTTTTAGTCGCAGTAACGGGTTGTTCGGAATATGAAAGTGAATTGTTGGATTATTTTTAAAGCGAAATATCCGTTTCGATTTACGAAAAAGTAAAGTGCAATTTATTCGAGAGAGAAAAAAAAACAACAAAATTTTGGCGCCATGCTAATAAGTGAAAAAACTGGTGTGCGAAAGTCACGTGACTAAATAAATGCAAAAATAAAAATAGTAGGCCAATAAAACGAGGGATAAGTACTTTGACATCGATTGTACGCATTATAATTATTGTTACTTTTGTTTTCGTTTCGTATTATCTTCGTAGATGGGAATTTAAGAAACAAAATCAATAATGGGGAATTCGTTACGCCCTTTTCAACTACAACGCAAAAACATTCCGATATCAAATCAATGGTTATATAATAGTTTTTATTTTGTATTTAATGGGATAAGTGCATTTTATAACTTATATTTTTGTTGTTATCAAAAGTTATTTCTATTTCTATCATTTGTTTTGAAAAATGATATTTTGAAAGATGACATTTGTAATAATTTGACATATAATAGAAGAATTATTTTCCTTAAAAAAAGAAGAGTACATAGCTCCGTTGGCAAAGGCCACGCGATAGAAGAACAGAAGAATTTAACTGTCAACGTCAATTCAAACGTATATTTAATCACATTTACCTGCGTACAAATAGCCCGAATTCGGTTTTTTGCGTATAATTTAGTTTAAACTTTACGTAAGTAACACGATTCGACCATCAAATTTTTTTTCTGGCCTCATTATGTAAGGTATTTGCTTACCAAACAAGTGACCGGATAGCTCCGTTGGCAAAGGCCATTCAAGATAAAACCAGAAGAATTCAACTGTCAACGTCAATTCAAACGTAGATTTAATCACATTTACCTGCCTACAAACAGACCAAATTCGGTTTTTTGCATATAATCGGTATAATTTCGTTTAAATTTTACGTAAGTAACACGATTCACTCACAAAATATGTTTTTTTTTTTCCTGGCCTTTTTCTGTAAAGCATTGCGTACTAGTGACCGGATAGCTCCGTTGGCAAAGTCCACGCCATACAAAACCAGAAGACTTCAACTGTCAACGTCAATTCAAACGTACACTTAACCTCAACACGGTCTAACGGTTTTGCATTTACCAGCGTACAACCCGCCCAATTTCAATTTATCCACAAAAACCCATTCAAATCCCACGTAAGTACCAAACCAACACAATCCACTCGACTCTCACATTCCTCAACTCGATCTTCCAACGTACCAAAACCCCCCCAGCGACATAACCTCACATTACCAACGCTCGATCTTCGCGCAGCGTCCCGAAAATCCCATCGAAAATGAGCAAAAGGCGCTATTCGAAAGACTCCAGCATCGTCGCCAAACGCACGAAATGTAAGTTTTAAAATCCAAAACAAATCCCGAATAAATCAACGCAAGAGGCCATGTAACAGAGAAGAAGAAGAAGAATCCCGAATAAATCAGGTTATCAGTTAAATTGTACAAATAGTTGATTCATAAATTATATGCAGTTTTATACGAAACGTAAACAATTAATCGACTTTTATTTCTTGTTATCATTACTCTAATGCAATTTTGTTATTTTTTCTATCCATTTACCATAGACAAGTGACCGGATAGTTCCGTTGGCAAAGGCCATTCAAGACAAAAACAGAAGAATTGTAACTGTCAACGTCAATTCAAACGTACATTTAACCTCAATACAGCTTAACGGTTTCGCATTTACCAGCGTACAACCCGCCCAATTTCGGTTTTTGCGTAAAAATTCGTTCAAATCCCACGTAAGTAACAAATTAACACAATTCACTCGACTCTCACATCCCTTAACCCGACGTTTCAACGAATTAAAACCCCCCCAAACGACATAACCTCACATTACTAACGCTCGATCTTGAACTATTCCAGTCTCGAATCCCATCAAAAAATGAGCAAAAGGCGCTATTCGAGAGACTCCAGCATCGTCGCCAACGGCACGCCGGCAAAACGAACGAAATGTAAGCTCTAAAAATTGCAATAAAAGTTAGGTTATCCCATCGCTCATGTTTGACTTTTACTCGTTTCTAGTCACGTTAGACAATATTGCAATTCCAGATGTCGACGTCGAGGGCGTCGTTTTGGTGACGGGCGCCGGGGACGTGGGTCAATTGGGCCTGGGCCCCGATGTGCTCGAGAAATCCCGACCGGCCCTCGTCAAATTAAATCACACCGTTATAGACGTTTGCGCTGGCGGTATGCACACCGTTTGCTTGACGAAAGAAGGAAAGGTACTTTTATTTTATCCAATTTATCCGTTTATCGATTCACTTCGATGCATTCTTTCTAGGTGCTTACGTTCGGTTGTAACGACGAAGGAGCTTTGGGTAGACGAACCGATGGTATCGAAGACGCCGAATTCCTTGCCGGAGAAGTCCAATTACCCGGTAAAGCGATCCAAATCACCGCTGGAGATTCCCATTCGGCCGCTTTATTAGACGACGGTCGAGTATTCGCTTGGGGAACGTTCAGAGTAAACTATTTTACTAACACTTTACACCTACCGAAACTAATTAATTCGCTTTGTAGGATTCACACGGAAGCATGGGATTGACTCCAAAAGGCATCGAATCCGATCCCTATGAGATAATTAAGGATGTAGTGGTGAGGAAAATCGCTTCGGGGGCCGATCACATGGCTTTTCTGACGAAAACCGGCGACATTTTCACCTGCGGTTGCCCCGAACAGGGTCAATTGGGTCGTACGACGGAACGGTGCAGCAACAGGAACGCCAGAGGCTCCCCGTTAGGTAACTCTTTTACTCGATTAAAATCCTATCGGAGAGAAATTAGTAACTAATTTCGTTGTTAAAGTGAATCAAACGGTCAAAATCGAGACTAAAATCGTATCGAAGAGAAATTAATAACTAATTTCGTTGTTAAAGTGAATCAAACGATCAAAATCGAGACTAAAATCCTATCGAAGAGAAATTAATAACTAATTTCGTTGTTAAAGTGAAATTTCTACATCCTCAAACGATCAAAATCGAGACTAAAATCCTATCGAAGAGAAGTTAATAACTAATTTCGTTGTTAAAGTGGAATTTTTACATCCTCAAACGATCAAAATCGAGACTAAAATCCTATCGAAGAGAAGTTAGTAACTAATTGTGTTTGTTAAAGTGAATCAAACGGTCAAAATCGAGACTAAAATCCTATCGAAGAGAAATTAATAACTAATTTCGTTGTTAAAGTGGAATTTTTACATCCTCAAACGATCAAAATCGAGACTAAAATCCTATCGAAGAGAAGTTAGTAACTAATTGTGTTTGTTAAAGTGAATCAAACGATCAAAATCGAGACTAAAATCCTATCGAAGAGAAATTAATAACTAATTGTGTTTGTTAAAGTGAATCAAACGATCAAAATCAAGACTAAAATCCTATCGAAGAGAAATTAGTAACTAATTTCGTTGTTAAAGTGGAATTTTTACATCCTCAAACGATCAAAATCGAGACTAAAATCCTATCGAAGAGAAATTAATAACTAATTGTGTTTGTTAAAGTGAATCAAACGATCAAAATTAAGACTAAAATCCTATCGAAGAGAAATTAATAACTAATTTCGTTGTTAAAGTGGAATTTTTACATCCTCAAACGATCAAAATCGAGACTAAAATCCTATCGAAGAGAAATTAATAACTAATTGTGTTTGTTAAAGTGAATCAAACGATCAAAATCAAGACTAAAATCCTATCGAAGAGAAATTAATAACTAATTTCGTTGTTAAAGTGGAATTTTGTCATCCTCAAACGATCAAAATCGAGACTAAAATCCTATCGAAGAGAAATTAGTAACTAATTTCGTTGTTAAAGTGGAATTTTTACATCCTCAAACGATCAAAATCGAGACTAAAATCCTATCGAAGAGAAATTAATAACTAATTTCGTTGTTAAAGTGGAATTTTTACATCCTCAAACGATCAAAATCGAGACTAAAATCCTATCGAAGAGAAATTAATAACTAATTTCGTTGTTAAAGTGGAATTTTTACATCCTCAAACGATCAAAATCAAGACTAAAATCCTATCGAAGAGAAATTAATAACTAATTTCGTTGTTAAAGTGGAATTTTTACATCCTCAAACGATCAAAATCGAGACTAAAATCCTATCGAAGAGAAATTAATAACTAATTGTGTTTGTTAAAGTGAATCAAACGATCAAAATCGAGACTAAAATCCTATCGAAGAGAAATTAATAACTAATTGTGTTTGTTAAAGTGAATCAAACGATCAAAATCAAGACTAAAATCCTATCGAAGAGAAATTAATAACTAATTTCGTTGTTAAAGTGGAATTTTGTCATCCTCAAACGATCAAAATCGAGACTAAAATCCTATCGAAGAGAAATTAATAACTAATTTCGTTGTTAAAGTGGAATTTTTACATCCTCAAACGATCAAAATCGAGACTAAAATCCTATCGAAGAGAAATTAATAACTAATTTCGTTGTTAAAGTGAATCAAACGGTCAAAATCGAGACTAAAATCCTATCGAAGAGAAATTAATAACTAATTGTGTTTGTTAAAGTGAATCAAACGATCAAAATCGAGACTAAAATCCTATCGAAGAGAAATTAATAACTAATTTCGTTGTTAAAGTGGAATTTTTACATCCTCAAACGATCAAAATCGAGACTAAAATCCTATCGAAGAGAAATTAATAACTAATTGTGTTTGTTAAAGTGAATCAAACGATCAAAATCGAGACTAAAATCCTATCGAAGAGAAATTAATAACTAATTGTGTTTGTTAAAGTGAATCAAACGATCAAAATCAAGACTAAAATCCTATCGAAGAGAAATTAGTAACTAATTTCGTTGTTAAAGTGGAATTTTTACATCCTCAAACGATCAAAATCGAGACTAAAATCCTATCGAAGAGAAATTAATAACTAATTTCGTTGTTAAAGTGAAATTTTTACGTCCTCAAACGATCAAAATCGAGACTAAAATCCTATCGAAGAGAAATTAATAACTAATTTCGTTGTTAAAGTGGAATTTTTACATCCTCAAACGATCAAAATCGAGACTAAAATCCTATCGAAGAGAAATTAATAACTAATTGTGTTTGTTAAAGTGAATCAAACGATCAAAATCGAGACTAAAATCCTATCGAAGAGAAATTAATAACTAATTGTGTTTGTTAAAGTGAATCAAACGATCAAAATCAAGACTAAAATCCTATCGAAGAGAAATTAATAACTAATTTCGTTGTTAAAGTGGAATTTTGTCATCCTCAAACGATCAAAATCGAGACTAAAATCCTATCGAAGAGAAATTAATAACTAATTTCGTTGTTAAAGTGGAATTTTTACATCCTCAAACGATCAAAATCGAGACTAAAATCCTATCGAAGAGAAATTAATAACTAATTGTGTTTGTTAAAGTGAATCAAACGATCAAAATCGAGACTAAAATCCTATCGAAGAGAAATTAATAACTAATTGTGTTTGTTAAAGTGAATCAAACGATCAAAATCAAGACTAAAATCCTATCGAAGAGAAATTAATAACTAATTTCGTTGTTAAAGTGGAATTTTGTCATCCTCAAACGATCAAAATCGAGACTAAAATCCTATCGAAGAGAAATTAATAACTAATTTCGTTGTTAAAGTGGAATTTTTACATCCTCAAACGATCAAAATCGAGACTAAAATCCTATCGAAGAGAAATTAATAACTAATTGTGTTTGTTAAAGTGAATCAAACGATCAAAATCAAGACTAAAATCCTATCGAAGAGAAATTAATAACTAATTTCGTTGTTAAAGTGGAATTTTGTCATCCTCAAACGATCAAACTAAAATCCTATCGAAGAGAAATTAATAACTAATTTCGTTGTTAAAGTGGAATTTTTACATCCTCAAACGATCAAAATCGAGACTAAAATCCTATCGAAGAGAAATTAATAACTAATTGTGTTTGTTAAAGTGAATCAAACGATCAAAATCGAGACTAAAATCCTATCGAAGAGAAATTAATAACTAATTGTGTTTGTTAAAGTGAATCAAACGATCAAAATCAAGACTAAAATCCTATCGAAGAGAAATTAATAACTAATTTCGTTGTTAAAGTGGAATTTTTACATCCTCAAACGATCAAAATCGAGACTAAAATCCTATCGAAAAGAAACTAATTCCTGTTGTATTTGTTACAGTGAAATTTCTACATCCTCAAACGATCAAAATCAAGCCGAGTTTGAAGTTGCATTTCGACAACGTTTGGGCCTCCAGTTACGGGACGTTTTGCAAAGTAGCCGATACTAACAAGATATACGTTTGCGGATTGAATAATTACAATCAAATAGGTAAATACAATTTATATTTACAAATAATTCATATCTAAAAACCAATTTTATTTCGTAGATTTGAAGTAAATAACTCGTATCTAAAAACCAATTTTATTTCGTAGGTTTGAAGCAAATAATTCATATCTAAAAACCAATTTTATTTCGTAGATTTGAAGCAATTAACTCGTATCTAAAAACCAATTTTATTTCGTAGATTTGAAGTAAATAACTCGTATCTAAAAACCAATTTTATTTCGTAGGTTTTTGCAAATAATTCATATCTAAAAACCAATTTTATTTCGTAGATTTGAAGCAATTAACTCGTATCTAAAAACCAATTTTATTTCGTAGATTTGAAGCAAATAACTCGTATCTAAAAACCTGTTTTATTTCGTAGGTTTGAAGCAATTAACTCCGTATTTCACTCCGACGTTATCGAGCGATTTCTCCAAATACAATTGGAGATCGATAACGAGCGGTCAACATCATACAGTGTGTTTGGATTCCGGAGGACGAGTGTATGTAATCGGTAGAAAAGAATATGGACGATTGGGGTTAGGGAAAGATTGCGAGGATGCCTTAGAATTGCAAAAATTGCTCGATTTAGACGATAAGAAAGTGGTAAACGTGGCATGCGGTTCGGCCACTTCGTTCGCTGTAACCGATGCAGGTAAGAGGCCATTTTTTTGGCTGTTTATTTATTTATTTATACTGCTCCACAAAAGTTTACAAATGTTGAGATTAATTTAAAAGTTGCAGTGTTTTTGATCGTCAAATTTATTAAGAATTGTAGAGATAGTGGCAAAAAAATCCACTTAGATATGAGAGAAAAACATTTCATTTTGCATATTTGAAAATTTGTTGATCAAAAAGTGTCTGTAACTTTTAAAATAATCGCGAAATTTGCAAACTTTTGTGGAGCAGTTTATTTATTTATACTGCTCCACAAAAGTTAAGCAAGTTTGCAAATGTTGAGATTAATTTAAAAGTTTGCAGTGTTTTTGATCGTCAAATTTAGTATGAATTGTAGAGATAGTGGCAAAAAAATCCACTTAGATATGAGAGAAAAACATTTCATTTTGCATATTTGAAAATTTGTTGATCAAAAAGTGTCTGTAATTTTGAAAATAATCGCGAAATTTGCAAACTTTTGTGGAGCAGTTTATTTATTTATGCATATAAAACTGCAAAACAACGCGAAGTTGGTACAGTAGAGTAAAAAGAAAAAAATGTACAGTGTGTCTACTTAAGTTCGCCCTATATGGAAAACTTTTTTATTATTAATTTTACGAAAAAACGTTATTCTTCATAAAAAGTTCTGCATGTTTTAAAACCTAAAATACAACAAAATTATTTGCACAGAACCACGAAGAGAACGTTTATAAATCATTATAGATTTCTGATTGTAGAGTTTCTCGATCATTTTTCAAGCTTTCAAGACTTTTTGCAAGCTCTCTACATACATTAAGTATAAAAAAAAGGTCCGAGGACAGTTCCCTTTTATTTTATCACTACGCTGGAATTCATTTAATGAAAAATTTGATGAAAAATGAAGTTTTTTTCCTTCATTTAGCGGTAATTTATTTGCACAAAGCCACGACGAGAACGTTTATAAATCATTATTAATTTTGAATTGTAGAGTTTCTCGATCTTTTTCCGAGTAAATGAAAACTGTATCGTCAGATATCTTGCATTCAGTTGGACTTTTTGCAAGCTCTCTACATTAAGTATAAAAAAACTTTTATTTTTCCGAGTCTCGTTGGAATTCATTTAATGAAAAATTAGATGAAAAAATGAGAATTAATCGTTGGTTTTTTTTTTGTTTGTAGGTGAATTGTACGGTTGGGGTATGGGTACGAATGGACAATTGGGTACCGGTTCGGAGGACGATTGCGAATTGCCTACTTTAATAAAGAGCAAGGAATTGTTGAATAGAAAAGTTTTAAGGGTGAGCAGCGGTGGACAACATACCGTTATTTTAGCCGTTGGGAATGATACTAACAATCGCGGTGATTCTTAGGAAATTTCTTCTATTTTCTTCTTCTCTTTTAAATGAGGGAATTTTTAGAATGTTAATTTGATTAGTGGTAAGCGTTTAATTTAATTGGCGACGTTGAGATGGAAAAAATTCGGATGTTTTTTTTTTCTTCTTTGTATTAGAATTTTTGCCATCTGATCGTTTTGTTTGTTTGTTTGTGAACTTAGTGGATATGCGGAAAGTGTTCAAATCTAACTAATATACGATATTTCTTCTTTTTTTATTTAATTGTACTCGTTAGTTTGTCAAAGAAAACGAAACTTTTGGCATGTTATTTATCGTAATTTCGTTTCGAAAATTTGTTGTCAAAATTACTTAACTGTTTTTGGTATAAACTATATATATTTTCGAACCGGCGTTTTACTAATAAATAAATCCCCAGTCGTATAATTAATCGAAATGATAGTTTTACCGGCACCCCCGCCTAAAGATTACCGGCTCGAAGAAATCAACAAAAGATTATTATCATCGCATTTGTTCACGCCCAACGGGGAATTGAGAATCACCCAACCGACGATTGGAAAACATTGCGTACCCATTCGTAAGATTAAAAAAAATAATTATAAACAATAATTCGGTAGAAAATAATCGACAGATTATCGAGACGACGAAGCGAGAGATTTGAGCCGAGTATCGCGAAGGAAACCCCACCCGAAGATCCTCGAGAAATTCATGTTTAACGAGAAATATTCCTGGGTCACTGCACAAGGGAAAGACGATTTTCTAATTCACGATATGTACAAGAAATACACCGTTAAATCGCCCAGTTACGATCCCAGATTCATGCATAAAGGTACTAAATTCGATTTTATTTCATTTTATATTTCGGCGTCCGAGTTTTCGTGCCGTTTGGTTTAGATTTAGAACGGAATCGGCTCTTCGATGATTGTCGACGGCCATTTTGTTGAACGATAATTACAGTTTTCTGTAATATACGCGAAATGTCAAGTTGACGCGTGACGTTGACAGATTTCCGCCAAGGTTCGTAAAAATAAAAAGGTTGACTGTTAGAGCGAAAATTAGGCCGAATAGCCGCAACAGCGGAGGCTACGAAACAGAAGAAGATGCAAAAATTATCTAAATAAATGATTTTATTAGGAACGTTTCATCGTATCAACGTCTAAGCAATGTGTCAATATGTTCTAGTCTCTAAAAGTATGAAAATTTAGAGTTTTTTAAGAACGAGAAAAGTCAATTGCAAAACCTCGTAAATATCCACACCTTGGTCAAAATCAACTTTTGACAACTATGACAGATCCAGACACATGACAGTTGGTGGCTCTCCCTCTGTTTAATGGTTGCATTTTTGTGAATTATTACGAAAAACCGTCTTATTTTTTAGTTTTTATTTATCTTACAAGGGAATTTCGTCTACCGAAAGAGTGCCGAAGTACTTTTTTTTAAAATACATTTACGCCTAAAATATAGGCAACACTTTTTACACAAAACATTGCAAAAATCGAAACTATAACAAACTTACAATTACTCACAAAAAAAAAGAATAATTACTCTATATGATAGCCAGTAAATAAGCACAACATTAACATCAAATGCCATTTATTTAATAATCAAAGTTATTATTCAAAATAGGAGAAATCGCGAAATGTCAAGTTGACGCGCGTGACATTGACAGATTTTCGCCAAGGTTCGTAAAAATAAAAAGGTTGACTGTTAGAGCGAAAATTAGGCCGAATAGCCGCAACAGCGGAGGCTACAAAACAGAAGAAGATGCAAAAAAGCTACCTAAATATATGATTTTATTAGGAACGTTTCAATCGTATCAACATCGTTAAATTCACGCATAAAGGTACCAAATTCGATTCTATTTCATTTCATACACGCAGAAAAAATCTTCAACCGTTCGTGCCAGTACGAAATGTCCTGCTCCAACGCCTTGAGACACGAGAAATTCGAGAAGAAAGTGAAGAAAGACGATCTGGAATTCGAATACTATTACGGGAAATTGGCGGAAATAGAGAGGGCCAAAAAACCGCCCGATATTCAAATACGGCCCTGCATCGAACGGGCCCCCTATTGGTGGCTGGAGAAGCCCGACGAGACCATCGAAAAGAAGAAATTCCCGATGGAATCCCTCGCTGTGGAACCGCCCAGGTTCTTCGATATACCGAATTTTACGGCGTTCGTAAAAGACGATCCTTGTCGAAGGAAGAAAGATATGCTATTGTATCGGCTTCGAAGCAATTTAAATAATTTATTAAGTCGTTTAAATCTTGCAGGGTTGGAAGAAAATTCAAACACGACGCTTGTTTGTGGTATTACGAAACTTATCCACCTCCGAACATCAAATTCCTGCCCAAAAAACTCGAATAAAAGTTATTTAAACGCAATTTATTCGTCGGATTAAAATTACAAAACCTAAACTTACATGGAATTATAAATACAACTGTTTTTTCGTTAAATACAAACACTATTCCTTTAAACGAAGATCGATTACTAAACTAAATAAAAATTCAAGAACCTCTAAACGTAGTGTAACTAAAAGGACTCAACAACAACATCATCTGATAGGTTTCCGTAAACACTCCTGCATCGAACACCACCTAAAAAAACCCAACAAATTTACACAAAAACATTTAAAAAAAATCATCATTTTTATACCTCGATAAACGGATAAATGGTTTCCATTCGTTTGGATTCGAAATATCTATCGACATCGTAATGCAATTTGTATCTGCCCGTCGTGAAATCGTTTCTGTTTATAAATTGATTGAATTTTCCCGACGAGTCAGTCGAACCTTCGTTGACGAAAGTCCATCTTCCATCGATTAATTTGTACAAACTCACTTGCAAACCCGATATCGGTTTACCTTTAGTCGTATCGGTGACTTGTGTGGTAATCGGAGGTTTATCGGTGACCCCTTTTTGTTGAACATTCTACGAAATAAATTACTACAATAAGTACATAAAGCTGGTTTTCGTAATATATTACTTTATCGTTGGTATTATCGGAGGTTTGTTGTACATCCTCTTCGCGTTCTTCATCCTCCAATTCCTCTTCATTGTACATTTCTTGTTCGTTATCGCCTTCGTTCGATAGAGCTTCTCGTTCGTCTTCTTCGTTACCCACAGCTTCTTCGTTCGTTTCCTCTTTTAATTTGTTCTGAATAAAAACCGAATTAATTCGTGTAATAATGGGGGTTTGTAAAATTTACATTACCTTTCGCGAATTGTGTACTTGAGCGGCTTTCTGATGGCGAATCGTGCAGGTGTGTTTTAGGAGGCTCAATCGATGGGCGTGTAACGTTTTGTGGCAATAAATACAAAAAGCTCTTCGGGGTTCCCCTTCGACTCCTCGAAGCCAACCTACGGTTGATCGGAGATGGGTTATTGTTAGATTAAAGAGGTAATTGTGGGTGGATTTAAAAAAACTTACCCCTGAAATCGGGCATGTGTTCCCAGGCGGGTCGATAGGTTTGTTTGTAATATTTACCTCTGGGGCTCACGCCTACCGAGACGTTTGAAGATGATTGAATTAGTTGGACGGGAATTAATTGGATTTCGGTGTCCAATTCGTTGGAATTGTACTTTTGCTCGTCTTCGCTGATTTGCTCGATTTCCTCCAAATCGCCGGTTTCCATTCCTGTTGTTGTTGTTGTTGGGTTTTTGTGACGAGGATATTAACCGGATACAACGGATATGTTGGCGGAAAATTGGGATATTTCGATCGTGGGGAGTTTGGTTTTGCGAGTTTTTTGTGCCGGTTTGGTTTAGATTTTAGATTTGGAACGGAATCGATTCTCGATGATTGTCGACGGCCATTTTGTTGAACGATAATTACAGTTTTCTGTAAAAAAATTACGCGAAATGTCAAGTTGACGCGTGTGACATTGACAGATTTTCGCCAAGGTTCGTAAAAATAAAAAGGTTGACTGTTAGAGGGAAAATTAGGCCGAATAGCCGCAACAGCGGAGGCTACAAAACAGAAGAAGATGCAAAAATTAACTAAATATGTGATTTTATTAGGAACGTTTCAATGTATCAACATCTATTAATGTACCAATATCTTCTAGTTTATAAAAAATATAAAAATTTAGAGTTTTTTAAGAACGAACAAAGTTAATTGCAAAACCTCGTAATATCCACACCTTGGTCAAAATCAACTTTTGACAACTATGACAGATCCAGACACATGACAGTTGGTGGTGCTACGTCTGTTTAATTGTTGCATTTTTGTGAATTATCTATTATTATATAACGAAAAACGGTCTTATTTTTTCGTTTTTATTTATATCTTACAAGGGAATTTCGTCTACCGAAAGAGTGCCGAAGTACTTTTTTTTAATACATTTACGCCTAAAATATAGGCAACACTTTTTACACGAAAACATTACAAAAATCGAAACTATAACAAACTTACAATTACACAAAAAAAAGAATAATTACTCTATATGATAGCCAGTAAATAAGCACAACATTAACATCAAATCCATTTATTTAATAATCAAAGTTATTATTCAAAATAGGAGGAATCGCGAAATGTCAAGTTGACGCGTGTGACATTGACAGATTTCCACCAAGGTTCGTAAAAATAAAAAGGTTGACTTTAAGAACGAAAATTAGGCCGAATAGCCGCAGCAGAAGAGGCTACAAAACAGAAGAAGATGCAAAATTTATCTAAATATATGATTTTATTAGGAACGTTTCAATGTATCAACATCTATCAATGTACCAATATCTTCTAGTTTTAAAAAATATAAAAATTTAGAGTTTTTTAAGAACGAAAAAAGTTAATTGCAAAACCTCGTAAATATTCACACCTTGGCCAAAACTTTTGACAACTATGACAGATCCAGACACATGACAGTTGGTGGCGCTGCGACTGTTTAATGGTCGCCTTTTGGTGAATTATCTATTATTATATAACGAAAAACCGTTCTATTTTTTCGTACATCATACAAGGGACTTTCGTCTACCGAAATGGCCGCCAAAAGGATCACCAAAAGCGCCATCAATTGGACGGCGTTGAGCGAAAGAGTGCCCGAATCGCAAAGGACCCAATTCTTGGCTTTCAAAGCCAAATCCGACACCTATCTTAGACGGTAATGCCTTCTTATTTTCACTATAATTCGTTATCATCACGATAAAACCATTTCCGAACGTGTAGCGTTATACAAACAACGATTATTTGCAGTGTAATGGCGAATCCGGAAACTCCTCCGGCCATCGACTGGACCTTTTACAAATCCAAAGTCCCCGTACCCGGAATGGTGGAGGAATTCCAGAAACAGTACACCTCTATTAACATACCGTACCCACCGGACACCGTTAAACCCCAATTGGATGCCCTTGAAAAGGAAATCAAGCAGGACATTGAAAAATTCAAGAGCGAATCCAACGCTCGTATCGAAGAGTAAGAACGCTTTGCATACGAAAACACCCAGTACAAATTTTTTTACCCGTAGGTACAAAAAGCAATTGGCCCATCTCGCTAGTTTGATTCCCTACGATCAAATGACGATGGAGGATTACAGGGACGCTTTCCCGGAGACAGCTTTAGATCCGATTAATAGACCCACCATGTGGCCTCACACTCCGGAAGAACAACACGACTACGTGCCCAAGGATGTCCAGTCCAGTCACTAATTGAATGCAATTCGCTTTGGAATAAAATTTATTAGTTATCTTGCAAATGTTGATTACGTGAACTGTTTTATCGGTGTCCCCCCTGTAGGAAGATTTTTCGTTTTTTTTTTGTCGAATTAGAATAAAATCGATGTTAACTAACTTGGGAGTTTAATTTTAGTGGAAAAAGTTTGTTTATAAGATGAAAAAAAAAGGGAAAAATTTGGAAATTTCATTGTGTCAGGTGTGGGGTTCGAACCCACGCTCCCGTTTGGGAACCAGAGCTTAAATCTGGCGCCTTAGACCACTCGGCCAACCTGACGTGCTCGTTCCGAAACCAAATGTCCTATTTAAATAATCATTGATTTTTTAAAAATACGTTTACGCCTAAAATATAGGCAACACTTTTTACACGAAACATTGCAAAATTGAAAGAAACCGACAAACTTACAAAAAAAAAAAGAATAATTACTATTACTCTGTACGATATAGCAAATAACCAAAAAAAACCAACATTAACATCTAATCCATTTATTTAATAATCAAAGTTATATTCAAAATATGAAGAATCGAACGTGTGCACTCTAACGAAACCATCTTCTCCACCAGAACTGTAACTTTTCCCGTCCGGATGGAATGCGACGCTGTTAATCGGACCGAAATGACCTTTTACTCTGCCGAATTCCTCTTCAAACACCATATGAAAGAATCTAAAAAATACAAAAAAAAAACAATTACAGCTCTCTATAACGCTACCTGTCTCCATTTGAGAGTTTTCCCTTAGAGAAACTCTCGAGAGTTACTATCAAAGCCATTTGAGACTTTTCCTGAGATATACCCTTATTTTAATGTCATCTAAACGCTCGCGAGTTATCGACATCTATTTTCTGGACACCCTGTATTTACCTGGAATCGAATTTTCCTACTCGAGCCGACGTCGTCGTGACGTCCATGGCGTCCTGTCCACCGCCTACCACGACGTGATCCATAATTGGACTGATCGAAGCCGAATTGACGGGTCTTTCGGTCTTGTACGTTTTGAGTAAAAGCAAATCTTTTGCGTCGAATAATTTCGCAGTGTGATCTTTCGAAGCCGTTACGAACATCGTTCGATTTTTGTTCCATTGCATGTCGTTGACGAGCCCGTCGTGGTCTTTAACTCGATTTATTTGTTTGCCAGACTGGAAATAACGGGCGTTTTTAGCGTTTCTGAACGGTTCTGAAGCGTTCTAAGCGATTCTAGACAGTTCGAAATGATTCTGGAGCGTTTTGAATTATTTTAGACTGTTGTAAAAGTGAATCTGGATCGTTCTGAACGAATCTAGACCATTTTAAATTATTTTTTGAGCTTTCTAAATCGTTCTGAAGCGCCCTAAATAGTTCGAGACAGTTTCAATTAATTCTGAAGCTCTAAATGGTTTTAGACAGTTCTACATCTAGACAGAATCAATTAGAACGTTCTAGAAACATCCAGAACGCCCCAGAATCATTTAGAACTGTCTAGAACCATTCAGAATGCCCCAGGATCATTCAGTACTGTTTGGAACGTTCCACAATCAATTAAAACGTTCTAGAACCATTTCGAATCGCCTCCCAGGGCGAGTTCTACTTAGAACTAGAATTATCGTCAAATTTTCGATTATTAATGCCTTAAATCGACTTTACTTTTAAATCCCAAGCGATCAATTCGCCGTTTTCGTGTCCGGTGATAATTCCCTCGTCCAAACTATCCCACAATATCGACGAAATCCTCGGACCCGATATCGGTATCCGGAAAATCGGTTGTTGACCGCTCGAACTATCATCTACAATTCTCGTATCGATGATGAACATTTCGCAGGGCTGTTTCATCGCCTTGTCGGTCGTGTAAACGGCCATGTTGGCTGAATAACTGAACAGACAGGTTCTCACCGAAGAGGCCGATGAGATGGTGCACAATTCTTTGCCTGGGAAGATAGAAAAATAAAGGAAAATTAGATAAAAAATGGGATAAAAATGGAAGAAAAAAAAGGATAAAAATGGATGAAAAATGGAATAAAATTGGTGAAAATTTCGTTTTTCTATGTCGATTAGTTTTCGAGATAATTGGTGTTTTTGAAACAAAGTTTTTTTGAGTGTTTTTTGAGAGTGTTTTTTGTCGAAAAAACTGGAAATATTTCGAAAATTAGTGGATTTTTCGAAATTTTCGATTCTTTGAGAGTTGTAGAGAATTTATTTTTCTATTTGCTAGTGAAAATTTGGTGATTTTATGTTGATTAGTTTTCGAGATAATTGGTGTTTTTAAAACAAAGTTGAGTGTTTTTTGTCGAAAAACTGGAAATATTTCGGAAATTAGTGGATTTTTCGAAATTTTCGATTCTTTGAGTGTTGTAGAGAATTTATTTTTCTATTTGCTAGTGAAAATTTGGTGATTTTATCTCGATTAGTTTTCGAAATATTTCCAGTTTTTCGACAAAAAAACACTCAACTTTGTTTTAACAACACCACAAAAAAAACCCCAATTATCTCGAAAACTAATTAACATAAAATCACCAAATTTTCACTAGTGAGTAGAAAAATAAATTCTCTACAATTCTCAAAGAATCGAAAATTTCGAAAAATCCACTAATTTTCGAAATATTTCCAGTTTTTCATCGCCTTGTCGGTCGTGTAAACGGCCATGTTGGCTGAATAACTGAACAGGCAGGTTCTCACCGAAGAGGCCGATGAGATGGTGCACAATTCTTTGCCTGGGAAGATAGAAAAATGGTTAAAAATGGGAGAAAATTAGAAGCGAAAAATGGGTAAAAAATGGATGAAAAATGGGAGAAAATTAGAAGCGAAAAATGGGTAAAAATGGGAGAAAATTAGAAGCGAAAAATGGGTAAAAAATGGAAGAAAATTAGAAGCGAAAAATGGGTAAAAAATGGATGAAAAATGGGAGAAAATTAGAAGCAAAAAATGGGAAAAAAATGGTTAAAAATGGGAGAAAATTAGAAGCAAAAAATGGGTAAAAAATGGATGAAAAATGGGAGAAAATTAGAAGCGAAAAATGGGAAAAAAATGGAAGAAAATTAGAAGCGAAAAATGGGTAAAAAATGGATGAAAAATGGAAGAAAATTAGAAGCAAAAAATGGGTAAAAAATGGGAGAAAATTAGAAGCAAAAAAAGGATAAAAATGGATAAATAATGGAAGGAAAATTGGAAGAAAAAATATAACAGGAATTTCGTTTTGTTTAGTAGAATGGATTGTTATTAATCGGTGTTGTTAATTAGTTAGTTAATTGTGAGTATATGAAGGTAAATATTTGGGGATATTTGGGGAATTTTGGGGCGGTTTTTCGAAATTTTCGATTCTTTGAGAGTTGTAGAGAATTTATTTTTCTATTTACTAGTGAAAATTTGGTGATTTTATGTCGATTAGTTTTCGAGATAATTGGGGGTTTTTTGTGGTGTTGTTAAAACAAAGTTGAGTGTTTTTTGTCGAAAAACTGGAAATATTTCAAAAATTAGTGGATTTTTCGAAATTTTCGATTCTTTGAGAGTTGTAGAGAATTTATTTTTCTATTTGCTAGTGAAAATTTGGTGATTTTATGTCGATTAGTTTTAGAGATAATTGGGGTTTTTTTGTGGTGTTTTTAAAACAAAGTTGAGTGTTTTTTGTCGAAAAACTGGAAATATTTCGAAAACTAATCGACATAGAAACCCAAAATTTTCACCATTTCATAGAAAAAACGATTCTCTATGAATTTCAAAGAATCGAAAATTTCGAAAAACGCCCGAATTCCCGAAATAATTCCAGTTTTTCTACAAAAAAAACACTCAACTTTCTTTTACCAACCCAACAAAAACCCCAATTATCTCAAAAACTAATCAAGATAAAATCACCAAATTTTCACTAGCAAATAGAAAAATAAATTCTCTACAACTCTCAAAGAATCGAAAATTTCGAAAAACGCCCAAATTCCCGAAATATTTCCAGTTTTTCAGCGTTTTAACAACACCACAAAAAACCCCAATTATCTCGAAAACTAATCAAGATAAAATCACCAAATTTTCACTAGCAAATAGAAAAATAAATTCTCTACAACTCTCAAAGAATCGAAAATTTCGAAAAACGCCCAAATTCCCGAAATATTTCCAGTTTTTCAGCGTTTTAACAACACCACAAAAAACCCCAATTATCTCGAAAACTAATCGACATAAAATCACCAAATTTTCACTAGCAAATAGAAAAATAAATTCTCTACAACTTTCAAAGAATCGAAAATTTCGAAAAACGCCCAAATTCCCGAAATATTTCCAGTTTTTCTACAAAAAAACACTCAACTTTGTTTTAACAACACCACAAAAAACCCCCAATTATCTCGAAAACTAATCAAGATAAAATCACCAAATTTTCACCATTTCATAGAAAAAACAATACTCTAAACACCTCATAATCAACAACTTTCAACAACACCGATTACCACCAAAAAAAACCCAATCCTAGTGCTCTTTCTTTCCTATCTAATTTTCACCTGTTTCGCAATCCCATATTTTACACGAATTGTCTCCGGCCCCCGACATGAATCTCGTCGACGTCCAATCGACATCGATGCACCAAACGGCCCCCTGATGACCGTTAAAAGTCCCCAATCTTTCGCCGTTCAACGAAAACCACACGTTCGGTTTGTTATCCTTCGACGATGAGAACAAAAGATCTCCTTCTCTGTTGTATTTGATTTGGGTGATCGCACGTTCGTGTCCTTGCAGTATAATCGGTTTCTACGGGGTGGAAAAATTAAATAGAAATTTACATACAGGGCGTTCGAGCAAAGCGAAAACTTGTCCCGAGGAATCGAGAGAAGTGGATTTATTCCTCGAAAAAAAAACGGAATAAAAGCGTTTAGTAGAGATATCGAGGATAATTTAAGTATTCGATATCGACTACTTATACAAGATGTTTCGAAAATTCGTTCACATTTGAATGTAATTAACAGTAAAGTATGAAGGTTAAATTTATCGAAACTAGGGTGAATAATTTACGATTTTTGTAGGAGTTTTATTGCGTTTTTCTTTCGGAGAAATCCACTTCTTTTCGTTAACAGAACGGTTAGAATTCTTCGGATAAGTTTACGAAACATCCTGTATAAAACGAAATTGAGGTTATCACAAGATATTTCGATGGGATAGGGATTTGTTAGTTGAAAGTATACTCACCATTTTTGTAGGCTTTATTTGATCCGTTTTATCGCAATTTAGTCGTTTTAATCTAATTAAATTGCATTTAAAAAAAGTGCTAAGAAAATATACCGACAACGCGGTGCAATTTTTATTTAACAAACGTCAACTGTCAGTCGAGTCAAATGTCAAAATATCTTCTTCGTTTTCGTAATTTATTGATGGCCTTTTATTGTAAAGCTTAATCAATTTTTACTTACTTAATCTTCTTTTTGGAATATCTACAATCAGCAAAACAAAATATAACAAAATTGTGCCTTTCTTATGGTAATGTTGTATATTACAACCGTAATTTACGCAACACCTTTTGCAAATGCTGAATGTTTACATTCTCCGCGTTCGTTTGACAGTATTGACAACAATTGAGTTATTGGTTAGGTTTCATATTGCCTAGATCTTGTGGGACTTAAGCTACTTATTGCAAAAGTCATTCTTCTCTTTTGATGTAAACATTCTTACGCCTACTAGAATCTAGTAATATATCACCAGAATCTAGTAATATATCGCCAGAATTTAGTGATATATCACCAGAATCTAGTAATATATCACCAGAATCTAGTGATAAATCACCAGGATATAGTAATAAATCACCAGAATCTAGTGATATAATCACCAGAATCTAGTGATAAATCACCAAAATTTAGTAATAAATCACCAGAATCTAGTGATAAATCACCCGAATCTAGTGATATATCACCAGAATCTAGTAATAAATCACCAGAATCTAGTGATATATCACCAGAATCTAGTAATAAATCACCAGAATCTAGTGATATATCACCAGAAGTTAGTAATAAATCACCAGAATCTAGTGATATATCACCAGAAGTTAGTAATAAATCACCAGAATCTAGTGATAAATCACCAGAATCTAGTGATATATCACCAGAATCTAGTAATAAATCACCAGAATCTAGTGATATATCACCAGAATCTAGTAATAAATCACCAGAATCTAGTGATAAATCACCAAAATTTAGTAATAAATCACCAGAATCTAGTGATATATCACCAGAATCTAGTAATAAATCACCAGAATCTAGTGATATATCACCAGAAGTTAGTAATAAATCACCAGAATCTAGTGAGAAATCACTAAAAATTTAGTGAGAAATCACTAAAATTTAGTGAGAAATCACCAGAATCTAGTGAGAAATCACTAAAAATTTAGTGAGAAATCACCAGAATCTAGTGAGAAATCACTAAAAATTTAGTGAGAAATCACCAGAATCTAGTGAGAAATCACTAAAAATTTAGTGAGAAATCACTAAAAGTTTTTTGTAGGCTTTATTTGATCCGTTTTATCGCAATTTAGTCGTTTTAATCTAATTAAATTGCATTTAAAAAAAGTGCTAAGAAAATATACCGACAACGCGGTGCACTTTTTATTTATTAAACGTCAACTGTCAGTCGAGTCAAATGTCAAAATATCTTCTTCGTTTTCGTAATTTATTGATGGCCTTTTATTGTAAAGCTTAATCAATTTTTACTTACTTAATCTTCTTTTTGGAATATCTACAATCAGCAAAACAAAATATAACAAAATTGTGCCTTTCTTATGGTAATGTTGTATATTACAACCGTAATTTACGCAACACCTTCTGCAAATGCTGAATGTTTACATTCTCCATTATTTTTGTCTAGTTGGTTTATATAAACTTTGGTTATATATCACCAGAATCTAGTTATATATCACCAGAATCTAGTGATATATCACCAGAATTTAGTAATAAATCACCAGAATCTAGTAATATATCACCAGAATCTAGTGATATATCACCAGAATTTAGTAATAAATCACCAGAATCTAGTAATAAATCACCAGAATCTAGTGATATATCACCAGAATTTAGTAATAAATCACCAGAATCTAGTAATAAATCACCAGAATCTAGTGATATATCACCAGAATTTAGTAATAAATCACCAGAATTTAGTAATAAATCACCAGAATTTAGTAATAAATCACCAGAATCTAGTGATATATTACCAGAATTTAGTAATAAATCACCAGAATTTAGTAATAAATCACCAGAATCTAGTGATATATCACCAGAATCTAGTAATAAATCACCAGAATCTAGTGATATATCACCAGAATTTAGTAATAAATCACCAGAATCTAGTAATAAATCACCAGAATTTAGTAATAAATCACCAGAATCTAGTAATAAATCACCAGAATCTAGTGATATATCACCAGAATTTAGTAATAAATCACCAGAATCTAGTAATAAATCACCAGAATCTAGTGATATATCACCAGAATTTAGTAATAAATCACCAGAATCTAGTAATAAATCACCAGAATCTAGTAATAAATCACCAGAATCTAGTGATATATCACCAGAATTTAGTAATAAATCACCAGAATCTAGTAACAAATCACCAGAATCTAGTGATATATCACCAGAATTTAGTAATAAATCACCAGAATTTAGTAATAAATCACCAGAATCTAGTAATAAATCACCAGAATCTAGTGATATATCACCAGAATTTAGTAATAAATCACCAGAATCTAGTAATAAATCACCAGAATCTAGTGATAAATCACCAGAATTTAGTAATAAATCACCAGAATCTAGTAATAAATCACCAGAATCTAGTGATATATCACCAGAATTTAGTAATAAATCACCAGAATCTAGTAACAAATCACCAGAATCTAGTGATATATCACCAGAATTTAGTAATAAATCACCAGAATTTAGTAATAAATCACCAGAATCTAGTGATATATTACCAGAATTTAGTAATAAATCACCAGAATCTAGTAATAAATCACCAGAATTTAGTAATAAATCACCAGAATCTAGTGATATATTACCAGAATTTAGTAATAAATCACCAGAATTTAGTAATAAATCACCAGAATCTAGTGATATATTACCAGAATTTAGTAATAAATCACCAGAATCTAGTAATAAATCACCAGAATCTAGTGATATATCACCAGAATTTAGTAATAAATCACCAGAATCTAGTAATAAATCACCAGAATCTAGTGATATATCACCAGAATTTAGTAATAAATCACCAGAATCTAGTAATAAATCACCAGAATCTAGTGATATATCACCAGAATTTAGTAATAAATCACCAGAATCTAGTGATATATCACCAGAATTTAGTAATAAATCACCAGAATCTAGTGATATATCACCAGAATTTAGTAATAAATCACCAGAATTTAGTAATAAATCACCAGAATCTAGTAATAAATCACCAGAATCTAGTGATATATCACCAGAATTTAGTAATAAATCACCAGAATCTAGTGATATATCACCAGAATCTAGTAATAAATCACCAGAATCTAGTGATAAATCACCAGAATTTAGTAAAAAATCACCAGAATCTAGTAATAAATCACCAGAATCTAGTGATATATCACCAGAATTTAGTAATAAATCACCAGAATCTAGTAATAAATCACCAGAATCTAGTGATATATCACCAGAATTTAGTAATAAATCACCAGAATCTAGTAATAAATCACCAGAATCTAGTGATATATCACCAGAATTTAGTAATAAATCACCAGAATCTAGTAATAAATCACCAGAATCTAGTGATATATCACCAGAATCTAGTAATAAATCACCAGAATCTAGTGATATATCACCAGAATTTAGTAATAAATCACCAGAATCTAGTAATAAATCACCAGAATCTAGTGATATATCACCAGAATTTAGTAATAAATCACCAGAATCTAGTGATATATCACCATAATCTAGTAATAAATCACCAGAATCTAGTGATAAATCACCAGAATTTAGTAATAAATCACCAGAATCTAGTAATAAATCACCAGAATCTAGTAATAAATCACCAGAATCTAGTAATAAATCACCAGAATCTAGTAATAAATCACCAGAATCTAGTAATAAATCACCAGAATCTAGTGATATATCACCAGAATTTAGTAATAAATCACCAGAATCTAGTGATATATTACCAGAATTTAGTAATAAATCACCAGAATCTAGTGATATATTACCAGAATTTAGTAATAAATCACCAGAATCTAGTGATATATTACCAGAATTTAGTAATAAATCACCAGAATCTAGTAATAAATCACCAGAATCTAGTGATAAATCACCAGAATTTAATAATAAATCACCAGAATCTAGTAATAAATCACCAGAATCTAGTGATATATCACCAGAATTTAGTAATAAATCACCAGAATCTAGTAATAAATCACCAGAATCTAGTGATATATCACCAGAATTTAGTAATAAATCACCAGAATCTAGTAATAAATCACCAGAATCTAGTGATATATCACCAGAATTTAGTAATAAATCACCAGAATCTAGTAATAAATCACCAGAATCTAGTGATATATCACCAGAATCTAGTAATAAATCACCAGAATCTAGTGATATATCACCAGAATTTAGTAATAAATCACCAGAATCTAGTAATAAATCACCAGAATCTAGTGATATATCACCAGAAGTGATATATCACCAGAATCTAGTAATAAATCACCAGAATCTAGTGATATATCACCAGAATCTAGTAATAAATCACCAGAATCTAGTGATAAATCACCAGAATTTAGTAATAAATCACCAGAATCTAGTGATAAATCACCAGAATCTAGTGATAAATCACCAGAATCTAGTGATATATCACCAGAATCTAGTGATCACCAGAATCTAGTGAAAAATCACCAGAATCTAGTGATAAATCACCAGAATCTAGTGATAAATCACCAGAATCTAGTAATAAATCACCAGAATCTAGTAATAAATCACCAAAATCTAGTGATAAATCACCAGAATCTAGTGATAAATCACCAGAATCTAGTGATCACCAGAATCTAGTGATCACCAGATCTGGTGATCACCAGAATCTAGTGATAAATCACCAGAATCTAGTGATTACCAGAATCTAGTGATAAATCACCAGACTCTAGTGATAAATCACCAGAATCTAGTGATAAATAACCAGAATCTAGTGATAAATAACCAGAATTTAGTAATAAATCACTAGAATCTAGTGATATATCACCAGAATCTAGTGATCACCAGAATCTAGTGATAATGTAGGGTAGGGTAGGGTAGGGTAGGGTAGGGTAGGGTAGGGTAGGGTAGGGTAGGGTAGGGTAGGGTAGGGTA